CCACCGAAACGATGGGAAACGAATGCGGAACAATATTTCTCGGTGGCGGGCGCGTCGGCTACCGATAAATACGGACTTCGCGCGTACAGCGAGGAGCGCCCTACCGGTTTTGCGGTATCTCGAACGGCTTAATGGCGCTGTTAACTGCCGTATCATTTAACGGGGATTTATGCATTGCAGTCCGCCGATTAAAACACTACGGTGGACGGGGACGACTGTGAGGAGGGCAGGGGGGAGGGGGCAGACGCGGGGGATGGTCGAACGATGTAGTGTGGTATTAAGGGGATGGACAGGTTGGAAACGAATTTTTTATAGTAATATTGTAAATAATATTATAGTAATGTTATAAGTAATATTATAGTAAACGTACTTTTTATTATTCTAATTTCCTATTTGAATTTTATTCAGCAAGTTTAATCCTTGTGTACCTGCGCGCGCGATGTCACGGACCGACTTTTGTGATGCGATTATTATTTAGATCATTGAAGACAGTTTGTTCGAAGTTATTATTAAATAATGTTAGGGAGTGTATGTAATTAAAATGAAAATAAGAAACTATTATAGAATAGAGTTTTATTGTAATAAACAGTTTTTCAATCTTCGTTGTCTGAAGCAAATGAGGATATACAGTGGGTGTAGAAAGTATTCGTACACCCTTTAAAACGGAACAACTCTTTTAAAATTGGTCCAAATGACTTGAGTATTTTTTTGTGAAGTTAGAGACGTTAATTTACTAAATGATGTGGAAAAGAAATTTAAAAAAGTTGCAATTGGTACGAATCGCGAAGAAACTATTAAAGGTCGTGTTTTACAACTTTTTAATCTGAGGCTATAATGAAAATTTAATAAATACATATTAAAAAACTCAAGTCATTTGGACCAATTTTAAAAAAGTTGTTCCGTTTTAAAGGGTGTACGAATACTTTTTACACTCACTGTATGTTTCGTCGGTCTGAGAGACCGACGCGTCAGTATAAAAATATTTAAACCTTAATCGTACACGTGCAGTAGGTTTGCGATAGGTTAACAAATTCCGTCTTAAAACGAGTAATCTTTAATTAAACTTTAAACGTTATCGTTCATACTGATCGCAAATGAATCACTGATAACACATCAGGTGAGACACCATCAATCTCATAATCGCTTTATCATATATCCTAATTCAAAACAATGCGTCATGCAGTGGTTCATTCGCGTTTACGTGCGTTCCAACCTATTTCATTACGATTCCCTTGGAACATTCACAACCGCGTCACCGAGGATCCCAGAATTTTTCGTAAATACAGAATACACCTTTGGGGGTCCCTATATTCGCAGGAATGGAAGGGAACAATCCTAAGGTCCCGCGATAACACACCTCGTTGGCTGCGGGGCGGAGATCGAAAGGGGCGCGGGGGTGGAACCGAAAGAGACTCGTGCGTCATCCACGTCACGATCGCTGCCAATGGGATCTCGGATCCAGCGGGCGATGCCTATTGAGGATTTGCATCTCTTGCCTGCTACGACGAATGCAAGAGGAAGCTCCGGGATTCGTGAGCTGGTGCGACGAAAACGATGGGAAATCCGGTTGGTATAGATATATACGTATAGGTATGCTCGTGCGATGGCCAAAAGCGCGAGAAAGAGAACAACAATATAGGTGGAACACCGATAGTAGTCGGGATAGAACAGGACAGAAGATCTCACGGAGAAACAGAGAAAGAGAGAAACTGGTAGAGGTATACAGAGAGAGAAACGTAGCATGGTCGATGTGTCTAGCCTAGCCCGGTTGGCTGGTTGGCTGGCTGGCTGGTTGGCTGGCTGGTTCGGGTGGCTGGATGAACCAGGGACCGTCTAGCTTGCGTCTGCCCCGCACAAACTCGGCATTATCTATACGTCTAGACACCCCTGCGCCACCGAGAGAAGACCATAGCGGTTTGGCGCTCCGCTTGTAATTTACAGCGTGCCCCGGCGTGTCTCTACATCTACGATCCCGCAAATTTCTCTCTACAGCCACCCCCTCCCCTCCAACCACCTTGTCCCTTTTCTCCCTGGTCCTCCCGAATCCCCTTTTGTCCGTCGTTCTCCTCTCCTTTCACCTGGTCCTCTTTCCTCGCCACCCCATTGACCTCCGTTTCCGTGCATATGTACCCAGTATACGCTCCTCCACGGTGAATCCTAGATCGTCCCACATCCCCGATAATTGTTTGAACACGGATGATACCTCAACGGCAGTTCGCTGTCTTACGTGGCTTATTCTGTCTTTCGAATAAATTCCATCGATGGGGGAGAGGAATATGATCGATCGACACGGAAACACTCATTCACTCAGAGGCTGAGGATGCACGCGGAAGTGGCGCGGTAGCACGCGAATATCACCGCGGGAATTCCTCCGAACACGCGCGCTGCTACGAGGCCTGAGCCGCCCGATGTTGAAGCTCGCGTGTGGGACACGCCACTTCAGATATCACCGGGTGAGCGCGGTGTACGAGCGATCGAGGGGATCCGTTGATAGGCCACGTGAAAAGGGAAGCAGGCGTCAATTGGTATACACGGGTATAGTGTACACGGCCACGCGTGAAGAGAGTGCGAATATTGGTATCGCGATAACGACATAGAGGGAGTACGGGAAAGGGGATGAAGCAACCCCTCGCGTGTCCGAAAGTACGTAGCTCCCCGTGGTTATCTCCCGAACGGGTGTACCGTATATATCGGCGATCTTTCGGTGATTAATTCCAGCTGTTAGTGCCAGGAGGCTCCAGCCAATTGAATCTCACCGTAGGGCAGACTCGCCTACGCCGCCTTTTATCCCTTTAAACCGCGTTCCCTCGATAATGGCTCGTCGAGGAGGCGCGCCGCCCCGCGTGAATAATAGATCCCTCCGTCGAATCGCCTTATCGTGTCCTGAGGGAACGGAAGAAAAGTGTCCGTTGTCCCTTCGAACTTCGCAGGTAGGAGAAAGAATAAACTTAATCCCCCCCCCCCCACTGCTTTGTCGACGCTGGAGCCCCGTCAGGTGCGTAACGCCCGTTCTACTATTCGAGTTTCGTGAACGCGAGTCTCCCAACGGAATCAGTCCTAATGTAAGAGTAGTTGCTTGGAGAAGGAAGGGGTGTAAGGATAAAAGGAAGGCGAGATAAAGGACGGTCGGAAGAGAGACGGATAGAGAAAACCACCATCGCGGTGGCTAGGCCGCGACGGAGTTTGAGGGTTGAACGAGCTGACGCTTTAAGCGATGTAAGTTACAGAAACTACGCTTCCGACCGGTCTCGGGCGCAGATTAGTCGTAATCTCGGCGCATTGCACTCTGCAGCCGTTTCCATCCCCTACCCGTCCATCCACCCCCCTCTCCTCCACCCAAACCCCGACCTCACAACTACAAAGGTTTCCAAACCGTTACCTTCTCGCCGAACCAAGACGAACGTGTTCAGACCTTCAGGCACGCACCTAAATCTCACGTACACGTGCATCGCCAACCGCACCGCATCGTGCGACAGACTGTACCCACTTGCACGCGGTATCGCCGCTTTGATTATTTCCTGGAGGCTTAAACCGAGACGTCTACGCCTTCGTGGCTACGAGTTACAACTGCGTCGGAGATTAAACGCTTCACAGGTTTATAGCCCCGGCCCAGGATCTTTAGGCTCGGTTTACGTGGCTCGAATGAGATTTTCCCGCGGTAACTCCGCTTCCCTTTTATACGGCTCTTACTGGAAATCGATAGCCCGCCGATTCTGTCCGCCACTTGCCTTCCCCTACCCTTCAGACCCCTCGGGAAATTTCCGCCTTGGCGCAATCCGAGGATGCAACCCAGGCAGCTGACAGTTGCTTCTTTTCATAGGCGACGTCGAATCGTGTTCGTCCGAGAGATTTCGAGACTCGAACATCCGGGGAAGGTCCATCGTGAAATTCTATATTCGTTCGGGGTGATAGAAGTCTTGATAGATTGTGTATAACTTGTCTCCGTAGATAAGACTGAATATTTAACGACTAATAGAAACAATGCGCGGTTCTGAATCAAAGCTTTTTACCTTTTCACTCGACGACTCGAAGACCGACTATAGCAACGAAGGTATCGAACAAACTACGAAGAGGGGGTCTAGGCTGCACTCTGTTTTCAGTTTTCGGTAGCTGCTCTAGTATCATAACTTCTGCTTGTTTTGTATCGAGTGTTAAGGAAACATGGCGGACGAGCCGCAAGACAAGGCTGAGGGTAGGAAGATCGAGAAAGGCTACGGGAAACATGGCGATGATATGAAGAATTTGGTAACATTCGACAAGATTTGGTAGACATCGTGTAATTAATTTATTCTTCTATTAGAAGAACAAAGAAAAAATCATCTAACGATTTATAATATGCTTGGATTATAGCAAAGAAGTTATTTTACAAGACAAAATATTCCGACGTGACTGGCCCAGAAAGTACGAACACCTGACCGGTGACTCTTTTAAGAAGGTATCTACCATGAAGATATTCGGGTGCGGTAGAGGGTAGAGGGGGGAATGCACGATGCAGTGTCAACGATCTTCACCAGAGGATTTAATGTGACGAATTTTAATGTGTCCCGGTGTCACTGACTGTAGGTGCTGGACGAAGAAAGCAGAAAGAAGGGACTTCCGGCGGACACTTTCGAACGTAAACCGCCGGAAGATACGATTAAACGTTCGCCGATTCCCCTTAAACCGTCGCCGGCCATTCCCAGAACGACATCCGGAATAGTGGGCCTTCGATCATCCCGTCCCGAATACAATCTCGAGTTTACGGGTCGCTGGTACGTTTCGCCGAGATGGACGATCGAACCGGCTGTGGAACTTGACGAATTTCGCGTCACGCAACAAAGATTCATCTTTCTTGGTTAAATAACGATGGCAACAGTTTCATTTAAATATTCACGCTGTGAAGATGTAAGCTTGCTTGAATACACAGAAACATAAAGCTGCGTCATTAATTTATACATTCTTGAACCGATTAATTAAACACGTTCTGTAAGACTCCAACGATTGATATGAACTATTGGGTGTATATATTTTCTGTATACAATGCATTGTACACTGTAACACTTGTATTAAAAAATAGATTATGGTAGTCCACATATAAACAGTATGGTCATGATACAATGACATTGTTTTCGAAATACATAGTTCAAAATGTCTGGATAGAATTTATACAGAAAATATGCTGATTGCTTTGTACATCAATTTTTTTTCCCGTTAAAACGAGAATTCATTTCGTTCGCTGGATATTATTTACACTCCGAACCACTTCTGTTTGAGAGTCGGTGGTAACTTCTCCGACAATGATATCGGGTTCACTTCAACTGCAACCATTTCTTCATCGTTCAACCAATTCAAATAGACCAAGTGCTAGAAATTGTTAACACATTTTTTGTTTTATTTTTGTTCGAAGTACGTAACGACCAGCTAAAATTACCTTATACTTCTTAAGAACTTGGAAAGCTTGCTGAGACTGCGAACTCAGGATGGAATTACTGTCCTCCGTGATCTCACCGTTCTCGCGTTTTGGAATCTTAGCTTCCTTCTCCGGAAGCTCGTTCGACTTATTAATCACATAAACCGTCGAGTCGTCGTGCATTATGATAATGTTCTCGTTCCGCGGATCGAAAATTATATTTGTTATGGGGAACGACCGTGCCAGCCATTGCTTCGGCAGTCGACTTTGCAGATTATTCGAGAAATTTGTGTACTGTCTTTGCTGAATGTTGTACTCGACGATCTGAAATAAAACGCGGGAATTGAGTATTTGAAATAATTACCGATAAAACGGTTTACGGCTTTTAATTTTGCTGGTGACGGGATATTGGAGGCGAGTTATAGCAGTAATTTAATACGAGGTTTATAAAAGATAGGAAACGTAGCGGATAGATTATACGTTTTTTTATGGTATGATGTAATTACTGTTAATTCATCGTTTTACGATGGTAGATTGCTCGCTGTAAGATCGTAATATTTAATAAGGAAAATAAACCATTTTTATTTACCTTGTGATCAGAATATACAACAACTAAGTTCAGAGTATCCTGCTGTACAGCCATAGCCGTTGGAGCACAACTGTACTTAGGCAAGCACCATACAGCGGGTGCATCTGTGCTCACAGCTTCACTAACATTATATATAGCAATTCTACCGTCACGATCGGCACACACAAAATATTTACTGTCAGGGGAGAAACAAGCAAGCCCAACATGCACAATGAACTCCCTGTTTGTGTGAAAAGACCCAAGCTGCCTCAAATGTTTCTTTTCCACTTTATATAATGTTACTGTATTTTTCTTCTTTTCATTATTAATCGTTAAGAACAGTTTACCATTTGGACTGAACAACATCTTTTGTATTCTACTTGAGGGAATGTCAAAATCATTCCGCGACAATTGTGCATCTCCATCAACTACGTCGAAGTTAAAAACTCTAACATGACTATCAGTCGAATACACAATTGTTTTGGAGTCTTTGTTAATAGCACAGGAAATGATATTCTCATCACCTTTTGTTTTTAACTGTAACAATTTCATTGGTTCTTCTTCTAACTGATGGAACATACCAGGATGTACAGATTCTGGGGACACCTTTGCAGTAGAACCAAGCCTCCATAACTCAAGGAAATTTGTGTATCTTAATAGAATACACCTAGATTTTCTACAGACAGTAGCACACGGTGGTTGAAGCAGTGGTGGATATTTAACAAGGACCTTGGGTGGATAACTTGATTGGGCTAAATATCCATCCACGCCTGCAGAATATAGTTTTCCATCTGCATCAACCAGAGCTCTCACATCATGGGCATGTAACTTCCTTTCAATTCCTTTTACCCATTGTGGCTTGCCTGTGGATTTTGTAATTATTTTACAAAAACTTCTTACCACAGGATCTACGCCAGCACAATATACAATGTTCATGTCTTGAGATAAAGTAACAGCTAATACATCTGCACTATGACTTTCATGGGATTCAATCAAGGTACCCATATGAGGATCCCAAAATGATAAACATCCACGTGAATCCCCAGAAACTATAACATTATCATCTGTGACAGCTAAACACCAAATAATAGTTTCTTTTTTAGCTTCCTTTCTAGAAGTTGTCATTTTATGAATTGCGTGACCTGATATAGCACTCCAAACCCTAATAGTATCTGTTGATCCTGTATAAATCATTTCTCCAGTATTGTCCCATTTAATGCAAAGAATTCTTCCCTTCTGTTTATCAAAAATCCTTTCATATATCAAAGCATCACTTGTTACAGTGAACGTATTAATATATCCATCTTCTGTACCAATAGCTAAGCAGGATTTCTTTTGGTTAACATCCATACACCAAGCTGCACCTCCAGTAACTGCAACCTCATTTTTAACAGACAATGTTGTTAAATCATATTCTGGTATCATTCCATGAAGACCCGTGGAGAATAATCTTGAACCAATCCATAGGATACTTTCAATGGAGTTTTCTGGTTTACCAGCTATTGTACACTCTACAAAAGGTGCATTTCCAACATTCCAGACTTCAATGGAATTATCATTTCTATAAGATTTTAAAACAGTTATTATAATAATTATATTGAACGTTTTTTGACTTAATATGTGCATTCAAAAACTAACCTTGCTAGTGCTAACTTTCTTGTTTTTGATTCGTAAGATAAACAAGTAACAGAACGAGGTTCTAAATTATAGAATCTAATATTGTGTATTTTACAAGTTGACATGATTCATTTATATTCGTAAAATCATTTATACCGATATTGTTAGTCTAATTGTACAAACTATTATACTATACACTAGAAAACATAACCACAACTGTCACACACGTGCACCTCGAAACTGAGTCTTTTTATGTTTTCATATTGGTACCAGTTTTGAGTAGGATTATCTTAATTCAGTTCTTGGTACACTTGGAATTATCAATAAAGTAAATATTGCGATATTAGCGCCGTCTAGGTATAGAATAGACCTATCATCCAATACTTTTTTCTGTCCCACGTTCATAGGGCTACGTAACACTGTTACCATTTTATTGTCAATACCCGACGTTACCGAAAAAGCATGAATCTGAGTATTATTAACACAAATGAAGTGTTATTCCATTCATATTGTGTGTATCTATATGATTTGACGGGAATAAAAATATCCGCTGCTTCAGTTTAACGTTAAGGGATAAATATGACAGTCATGAAACATGAAACTGAAAAGTATATATTTTTTCACTTAACTACAAGACAATTTATTCTAAATGCATGGTTAATGGATTTCATTCGTTTTTATATCTTGCCTTACATTTGTGTATTTGTAACAGATAAATTCAGAATAGATGTAGTTTCATAAATAGTTTATCAAATCTACCTTTTGGCCGTTGCGGGAATGCCTTACCTTACCGTAATGAGCCATCTCATGGCCGTGGGATTCCGGGAATCGGGTGACGTCACGGCGTGCGAGCGAGAGCGGTAGAGCGAGCCGCGGTATCGGTGCTCTCCGTCGATCCAACGCGCTAGTGAGTTGCGTCACCCAGTTTATTGTCTTAGCCGTGTACGCCGTGTACCAAGGTCGTACCATCCCGTGCAGGTCTGTGCTTGCTTCCTCACTTTGTCGTGAACCGTCGCGGAGGGTGGTCGCGCGTCTCATACTCGTCCTTTCTCTTGTTACTAACCCATTGTTTGTTGCAGGCATTCGACAACCATCAATTTATTTACTGTGCATATTATTAATTTATTTACTGTGCATATTGTTGTGTCCCCTCTCTTGTTACTAATCCCTTGTATGTTACAGATGTTCGAGAACCATTGGCTTCGATATTTATTTTCTTGTGTACTGTGATTCATTTACTCTGATTTATTTACTCTGATTTCTATACTGTGATTTATTTACTGTGCATATTATTAATCTATTTACTGTGCATATTGTTGTGTCCCCTCTCTTGTTACTAATCCCTTGTATGTTACAGATGTTCGAGAACCATTGGCTTCGATATTTATTTTCTTATTTACTGTGATTTATTTACTGTGCATATTATGTATTCTATGTGTATTGTATAATGAAAAATATTTTTCCAAACAGTTATTCCATCGAAAGAAGACATCGATCAACGTCTACATCTTCAAAGCGTGCGTCTACCACTGCGTTAAGTTACTGTAAGTTAAACTTAAATCATAATTCGATATTCATTGTTATATTCATATTCATCATCACATCGTTTATTATTAATTTTAGTCTATCTATTAATAGACTTAAATTGTGATCAGCCATTGTGCATACCAAGTTATTATTAATTCATTTTGCTCGTTGATTTCTCTACACAGACTTGGGGTATGGGCAGTGGGTCTGTACCTATTATGGTACGGGCAGTGGGCCTGTGCACTAAGACTGTTTGCCGATCCCTCTGGTTTCTATTGAGAAGCCAGATATCGGACGTGTTTAGTCTTTGCCTGGTAAGTAGGATTTGGAGTAAAGGCTCGTGCGCGCCTGGGTACAACGTACCCGCCTACGGAGTAGTCGGGAGTCTGCTCCGTAAAAGGACTCTGTTTTACAGGGGATCTCGCTTGCACTACCATACTTGGTCATGACCTGTGCTCGGGTCTGGTACGTAGGTGACCAGCCCAAAGGGCCTGGAAAGTGAGAGATGGATTCGGGTTTGCGAGGTTGCGCCCGTCTTTCCTATTTTCTTAAACCAGGTTCTGGCGACAACACTTTCATCGCGATACTTGTTCATACTGTAGTTTAACGTGGTTCATCGTAGAATTAATTTTTGGCTTGGTATATTAGGTGCGTAAACGAAATGATCGATGGAACTTTTTCCATTCCGTCTATCTCTTTCGTTTGAGTATTAGCGACTACATTGCGTTAAATTTGTTATTTCGTATTACTAGCATTAATTCGTATTAATTAGAATATTAAGATAATATTAGTTCTAAGCTGAAGAACGAAGACAACCGACGAGGGAACTTAGTTTTTTATAGGTTTAGGCTCAAGAAAGAAGTCATCCGCCGAGGGATTTTAGTATCGGTAGTATTATATAGTTAAGATTTAAGTAATTTATAAGGTTTATTGTGAAAGGTGGGTAGATGTAGAACTTGTGATTCCATCTACTTGCCTTGGGCCTCCACTCGCAGCAACCTCCTCGTGGTGAGGCCTGGGCAATCGGTATTGTCATCGGTAAAGTACTATAAACTGAAGACAATATCGAGCTAATGGCTGCGAACTTCTAATCTATTTCATAAAACCACGTTCTATATTACATCGAACTAGGATTATTTTAGAAATCGATATGAAATTCAAAGTGTAAAAATGTCTAGTACTTTGAATGTTTTAGAAAATTATTCGAGATAAAGATGTATGGAACTACTGAAAATTACTTTAGATTCCTTTTCCTTATTCTGTAAATTCATTGATTGGAATATGAATGCTAATGGAAGTATGAATATTTTCACAGGACAATGATATAAATGGAACTTTAACACTTTTTTAAGTGTTACAGTGATATTTCGTTGGCCTCCGTATTAGCGCATTGCACCGAACGCGGATAGCATGATGTTGTAGTCGCAAGGGAGCAATTTATTCGAATAGACGTATTGTACCGTACCGCATCATATTGAATTTCAAACTTTTATATCATTAGAATTTATATGTATACATATGTATATTCCTATAAACATACCGCAGGTAATATAAGCTTCATTTCATCGAATTGTCTTAATAAAATATCTGCATAAATATCGTACAATCCTATACTAATTATAGTTGTCTGGTTCAACACGTTACTACAGAAACTAACTACTGCCTACGTCTTTTAAACTTGGGCTGTAGTAGTATCTGCAGAAACTGCCATGATTGTTGGGGTTACTATATAATTTGCTCACGGGAGCACGCACAAGTGTCAGTCAGATTTCGACAGTTGTACGAGCAACATTAGACCGAGCTCGAGAGTTGTACGAGCAACAGCGATAAAGGATCACGTTTAAAAACTATTGTACCTGTTCCGGGGGTTCCATGACCCTGTATTCCCGCCACACGGGGTCACTGGCTCCTCCACCGGGGGCTCCATGACCCCACGTTCTCTCCACAAGGGGTCACTGGCGCCTCCACTGGGGGCTCCATGACCCCACGCTCTCAGCACACGTCTCTGGCGCCACCTGTGGGGGGTTCTGTGACCCCGCGTTCCTGCCACACGGGGTCTCTGGCGCCTCCACCAGGGGTTCTATGACCCCACGCGGTGTCTCTAGCGCTTCACCGGGGGGTTCTATGACCCCACGCTCTAGCGCATGGGGCCTCTGGCGCCTCCACCGGGGGTTCTATGACCCCTCTTACCAAGCTACTACCTCCGACTACCTAGTCGGTGATATTAATCATTATTTAAAGGAGTGCGTATCCTTCGCAATAAAAATGTTTGTATATTAACGAAATTATGTATTTTAATTCTTTCTTTTGTACTGAATTTCTAAATATTTTCATTACTTCAATTCATACACACTATCATCGATCACAGAATGAAATCATGCGCGCAGTGTTGCATGTATGACGTAACAATATAAATTAACAGTTGTTTATTACCGTTCGAAGGAAATAACCTGTGCTTATTCTCGTTTTATATAAAAAAAAGACAGAATATGTTATACCAATAGAAATTTAGAGACACATATTTACATACATATATTTGTCCAAGAATTAGAATTTAATGCTGCCATATAATGTCACTGTTCAACTATTAAAGTAAGTATTAAGTAAAAGTATAGATACATTTATAGTAAACATTTTAGTATGTACAAAAATGAAAGAGAGCATATTATTGATTTTCTTTTCCAATCATCTAAATTTTCTTCCCATGCTCTTATTTACATTAGGATGGTGTGGCGGTATATTCCCGTACTTCGAAGGGGATTTACAAAACATTCACGAGTAGATTATGTTACGTTCGATTATTTTGTAGTAATTATGTAATATTCTACATTAATAATAATATATCGAACATCCATGTAAGCCGTTCTAAGAACACGAGTACATATATCTTAATTCAATCAATATTTCCAAGAAATGAGAATGTGATACAGTTCATTTTTTATCAATTAGAATATTCTTGAATATACCAAAAAATTAATTTTTTACGAAAACGTATTTATATTAATACGTAGACTCAAGGTTTCTCGATTAAATGAGAAAGTTTGAAGTAAATAAAGACTAACATGTGCAGGAACGTCGAAAGTACAGTAATATTTTGGAAGACATGAGTATACTTTACCAGTGTATACGCGTTAACAAATTTAATAGTGTAGTGAATCAACAACTTATACTGTTTAATATTAGTGTTTATTCTCGTCTTTTTATCTTTCAAAATTGATCGTTATTTTGAAAAGAGAAAAGAGCAAACAGATTTTCATTTTAAATTATATTACTAATTCATTTACGCAAAAATAGTAAGTAATTATTCATCGTTATATATAACAGTAAACAGCAAACTGACGCAATGCATCACGCAGGCGCGCCATATGTTAAGCTACACCTCCCAATCCCAATATTCAACCCACTTCATATCAGTTACTTGCGTGGATATTACAGTCTGTTACAGTCGAAGGTTGATGAGTGGAGCGGGGTACAATCAGCTACTGTGACATCCAGTGTCATCTTTACACTATTGCGAACGTGACTGCACGTATAAATTTTTGGAGTGCATTGGTGAATGTGGTCAGCAATCCAATCTTTGGCGAAGTAATTACATACCATTTCGAGCAGATCCGATCGTCTCGCCGTTTCGGGATTTTAAGCACCATTTCCAAAAGGTAAATAAATTCTCGAACTATTCGGCGCACGAATATGGTTATCGATTATAACAATTTCCAGAACGTGCGCATGACGCATCAAATTGACTTGAACAAATAATTGTACGTTTTTCCGGTGACTTGCATACGGTCATAAACAGAATCGTCTGCGATGGTGTCGCGAAAATATCCTTTTTCTGGAATATACACCAGCAGTCGCAAAATGTCCGCCTCAACCCATCAGCTGCTTTTCCGGGAAAATGTTGAGGCATCATTCCGTTTACTGTTTCGCAATGTTGATTTCCGCCGATACCGGCACATTTACCATCCCCTCTGATTAAATTTACATCGACAGCTTCCATTGCTTTTTTTTTGTAATTATTACGTCAGATCTAGAAAAAACGTATACTGTGTACCTGTTACTCTAATAGAAAATTATTTTTCTCGAATAGCTGTGTTGAAATACAAGTGAGACCAATGTGAAATTAAAAACGTATTAAAATATGAACTTAGAAGTAATTACTAATTGATGCTTTTTTAGCATATTTTCAGTTGACTTTAGTCTTCTGAGATTTTGATAAAGATTGTGCTCATGCTAATAGTATTTAAATGTATCATATATAATTATACCTTTATGTACTAAACTACAAAGAATGTCTATTATTATGAGCACAACTCTTCTATGCTTGAGCTTAACAATTTCAGGTATGTGTGATCCTAGATAGTGTGTGTTGCTACAGCCACTTTGAGATAAGATAATAATAAAGCCGTAGGTTTATAAAAATTTCATTGTCTTCAATATTTGTTTTCAAATTTCATAACTATTTGTAGTTTATAATTGATTATAAATAATCTTGTAAATTGTTTCAATTGTTTACAATAGTAATATGCTTATAATTTTGTTGTTACTGTGTAACTTTTTTATTCTAGAATTAAAGGTCAGATTTATTATTATATTGTTTACTATTGTAAAAATTAGCGTATCAGTTAATAAAAAACATTAAAAACATGTGTATTATAAAAATTCTGATAGTAGCTTGTTTTGCATAATATTAACATTTATTAATTATTTTTTTATCATTTAGTCCTTATTGTATGTCTAACAATCAGTTGTTATTTAATTAAGGTCTCAATCAATTATATACAAATAAAATGTTATCTATCACACTTTGAAGGTTGCCGATTATACATTCGTATGCTGGTGTTCCAGTAATGTTTCTACAAAAGTATCTCATAATAACGATAGATTATTTTTCAGTTAAAAGAAATACGGAAAGATGACAACTTGGCAGGGTGCACCTGGTGCAGGATTTTATCCAGGACAACAAGGTTCTAATCATTTTTTCTATGTTCTAAGTACTAAATATTTTCAACATACATTGTTCATGTCTCTAATATGTGCTATAGAATGTTTAGCAAACTGCATACATCATGATGCTTGTTTCATGTAACAATCATCACTCTAAACCATCTACAAGTGTTTGGACATTTCAGTTATAATTTACAATCACTAGCAGCTAATAATAGAGTAATAGCATTTGCACATTTATAGAAAAGGGCAATATAATGTCTGCGTAACCCATGCCATTATTGAATGAATCACCTATAAGATTTGAAAAGATCATGCACCAGTGTTTAATGGCTGTTATTAGAGCACAAACGTTTATGGACATTGATGCTCATGCTAAAGAACACAGTTTATTCCAGTATGTTTTACGCACTCGATTTCGATTGTGCAGGTTTTCCTCAACAAAATCCTGGATATCCACCTTACGAAGGATATAATTCAGGGTATCCACCTCCTTACGGGGCAAATCCACCACCAGGTTTGTATTCCTATTTATACATGAAAAGTGTACTTCAATTTGATGCTTTTGTAAAACAAAAAGACATGATCAGAGATAGGATAAGCTAAAAAATATGGAACCCTCTATTTTAATAAAAGGATCCGTTGCATTTTTTATTCTAATGAGAATTTTTATACATAAAATATATAATTATTACTTTTTCTTTTGTCAAAGGACCAGGTTTCATTCCTCCCCCAGGAGGCCCCCCATTTGGACAAGTACCACCAGCTGGTCCAGCATTTGGAACACACCCAAGCATGTACAATTCAAATTATACAGAAGAATCCATGCAAGATGAAGTCAAAAGATTTGACTTCACTGAGAAAACGATCAGAAATGGATTCATCAGGTTTGTATGATGATTAATTGTGTACTTGGAGGTTCCTTTAACTATAATACTGTTTCCTCTTTGCAGGAAAGTTTACAGTATACTAATGTGTCAACTTCTGATTACTGTGTCGATGATAGCATTATTCCTTTATCACCAACCTACTAAATTATGGGTGGCAAACCATAGAGAAGTATTTTGGATCTGTTTTGCAGCTACTTTTATTTTGATAATCTGTATGGTCTGTTGCACCAGTGTGAGGCGAAAAGCCCCCATGAATTTTATATTTTTGTTCCTATTCACGGTAGCAGAAGGTTTTCTGCTAGCTACTGCTGCTTCTACATATAGCTCTGAAGAAGTAAGATATGAATGACAAATAAAGAACGTTAAAAAGTTGTAGTATTAGGTACATGGATTGTAATTATGTATTTTTAAATGTTTGTAGGTACTATTGGCCGTTGGAATTACTGCTGCTGTTTGTTTTGCACTGACGTTATTTGCATTCCAAACGAAATTTGATTTCACTGCTTGCCATAGTATTTTGTTCGTGGCGTTGATCGTGTTTGTACTTTTTGGTATAATTGCTATGATCTGGCACGGAAAAATAATGACTCTAGTTTATGCATCGATTGGAGCTCTACTTTTCTCTGTTTACTTAGTCTACGATACGCAAATGATGATTGGTGGCAGCCACAAATATTCAATTTCCCCTGAAGAATATATCTTCGCGGCATTGACTCTGTACTTGGATGTTGTGAACATCTTCCTTTACATTTTAACTATTATTGGAGCTGCACGAGATTAAATGCTGTAATATACTATGTTTTTGCCACTGGATTAATCTTGAACACAAAATGCTTCTACTTATTGTTACTCTGTTTTGACTCTCTTTACTTTTCACATAGAGAGTGTATTACAGATCAATATGAAAATGAATTAGGCAACATGTAGTAAGCATTAAATTATATCAAGTAATAGCTTTTACACGTTTCTCAAATTGAAGTCAATACCGAATAAAGTTTGACTTCTAGTCTCAGAAGTCAAACAGAGTAAATCCTATGCTTTTCTTGGAAGGCAAGCTAAGTGGTTATTATAGTTAAGAATATAAATAAGATTTTTATGAATGTGAACGCGTAATTTACGCGTAGTTGATTAATTTATCCTTGATCATTTTATTTTCACTGTAAAGAAGTATTATTCATGTTCATTGAATTTCCATGGCACACTATAATTTATTTTCTCAAAAAAAAAAAGAAAAATATATACTTTTTGTACTGTATCATAACACAAAGGAAGAATTCTTTATGTCCAATATATCATGATTTAAATTTAATCATCGATACAAATGGTATAAAATATGTTTTCATAGTTTATATACGCATTAGGCTTAGTATTATAATATTTACACATTATTACAGCTGCAAATTACCCTATAAATACATACGTATATTTACCTGTTATGTGTGTTTAGACAATAGATGTTATTGTTCGTATTTAAATAAAAGAAATTCCAAAGTATAGAAGGATATTTGTATTTTTTGTTGTATTTCAAATAGTGCTTTAACTTACACAATGCGATTTCACACATACAGTATGTTTCAACTTTGTATGGTACTGGTGATCAACTATAAAAACGAAAATATTTAACTTTGTACATTATGGAAAAAATGCCACAATGACAATATTATATATATACCTGTCCTATTATTATACTGTACGTTCACTGTGAAGGAAAATAAACGATTGTTTCGAAATTGTGAATATTTTTATATTTATAGTAAATTAGTCTTACACAAATAGGATAAAAGCTCTTGGTCTTAAGCTTTTCAGATTTTAACTTAAAATGTAAATAAGCATATATAGTGCAATGTCCGTATGAAAAAGCATTCAATGTTCACATAGATTTGAAAGATTATAAGCCCACATTCATTCTCACTCTTCTCAATATGGTAACAAATTGCAGCCTCGTATAACAAATAAATTGTTCCTAGTTGACTTTGTTCGTGCAACAATGCATCAAGTTTCATATGGAAAACAAAGCTCCATCAGCAGTACTTAGTATTGATTCCTTATATTATTTATAAAAACTCTGATAGAGCTTCAATATCTGTGTACATGCAATAAACACATTTATAAATACAATTGTATATGTGACAAACAGCATTTATGATCCACCCATTGAAATCCAGATTTTAATTAAAAACTTCACTTTTTGAACCATAACTGTTCTTTTTATACCTTCAGTTAGATCTTCTTTTGTCTGAACTGTTATCAAACAAGTTGAAATGAATTTGATTAGGCAGTGTTGTGAAGAGATTAATTTTACTATTATGCTTTAAATTATGCTCTAAATCTATCCACAAATCTATTTTGAGTGGCACGAGCTGATATATAGTTTATTATGCGCCGTTAAAATAAATAATATAAAATTAGCAGCACCGAGTAGAACTTCTCTCCACCCTTCGATCAACTGTTACCCTATCAGGAGCATCTTGGGGTTCTTTCCCATGTGTTTTCTCCAATATTGCTTCAGCCAATTCACTAAATGCGCGATCAATGTTGATGTTAGCCTTTGCAGATGTTTCCATAAACCTGATACCATGCTCTCTTGCTATCTGTAAACCACATTAACTAATTCATTTTTGCCATTCACTTGTAAAACAAAAATTAATATAATCTTGCTTTGATTATCTTACCGCTTCTCCTCTTTCTGTGCTGACAACACGTTTCTCTTCCATATCACTTTTATTCCCTAATATCATTTTTTCTACATCTTCATTTGCATGCTACAATGATCAAAAGTAAAGTATAAATCCTAGATAAATCTTTTTCTATTTATAATTAATAAAGGAATTTATAATCACACTTACTTCATCAATGTTTCTCAACCATTTGACAATATTTTCAAATGTTTTTTCGTTAGTAATATCATAAACAAGCATAATACCCATTGCACCTCTGTAGTATGATGTAGTAATGGTATGAAATCTTTCTTGGCCTGCAGTATCCCTGTGAATATATAGATTAAACGTTGTTTAGAGACATTTAATATTCCATAACTTACCATATCTGTAACTTGATTTTTTTTCCTCTTAATTCCACTGTCTTGATTTTAAAATCGATACCTACGTGACAAAAGAACACAACATTTAACATCGATTTATGTAAAACAATAAGCTATACGGGAACAATGTTGTCAATCATTTCACGCTAACACTGATTCATAGTTACAAGTTTAACACGCTTTTTATATTAAAAACAGGTGATACTTTAATGCCAAATTATTCAGTAGTTCTCAAATCGTAATTTACACAAATTTTCTTCGTATGATATTCCAATTTCATCTTGGTAGCATAACCTACGAAGCCGAAAGGAATTCACGCTGGCGGACAATCCGGTTTGCGAAATGCACTCATGTTATATTAGCGAACAGTTAGTTATACGTGATCGCTTCTCTTACCTATGGTAGAGATGAACGTGGTGGAGAAGGCATCGTCCGAAAATCTAAACAATATACAGGTCTTGCCGACTCCTGAGTCACCGATCAGCAGTAATTTGAACAACAGATCGTACGTCTTTTTCGCCATTTCACTGTTGCTTCACGTTAACGAGGCGCCGAGGGAAACAAAAAGAGTTGAACCCGTGAAGCACGATTAGAAGTTTTTCCAGACGATGTTTCAAACATCGAACGCTCTGAACGATTATAGGTTTCAAGGTCGGACGAGGGCGCGTCTCAACGTACAACGGGGCCTTGTTAACGACGGAAAAACCGGTCACAGGGGCTGACTATTAAAAGACAATACGACGTCACACAACAGAGCAGCACGCAGAAGCATCGGGGTAACGTTTCTGCTTTGCGTCCTGACGAGCCCGAACGAGAGTCACGACATATATCGGCTAGGCAACAATTTCCTGGTACAACCGTTTCATCGTTAGAATCGCGAAACTATGCCGGGTTCAACTCTGCAAATATTCCATCTACCACGGGAGGTCACCACCACTGCAAAGAACGCTTTTAAATTACCCAGGATTTTAGACAGAATATATTGTGAATAAGAAAAAGTATTTGCAAACTCATGTCTTGTAATAAATACATACATATATCCAACAAAATGAAAACAATATGGAAATTATCGCGAGAAACATATTTGTGAGCATACTGCCATTAAAAATAGAATAAAATGAGTCAGAATTTTTTTATATGATCTGAGAATCTTAAAAAATTAATTGAAAAATGTTATGTGTATATACGTAACTGTACTCTGTTCTGTATCGATGCGTGTAGAAATGAGACATCGACGTTCTGCGACGCAATATGCTTTTTCTGTGCTCGAGATAATTGTTATGTCAATAGTAACTTCAATTGTAGAACGAGAAAATGTGTCTTTCTAAGAAATACTTTTGAGAGATTCGCGTATAATAGACTTAGAAAGATGACGTGTAGTTGACGATTAAGATTTACTGTTTACCGCATTTGGATAAGGCGCGATGATACGTGGATGGATATTATGTGGTCACTGAGTACGAGTGCGTTAAGCATCTTCAACGCATCCACAGACGAGTAAATGAGTTCAAGAAACCACGAATCATATACAGGGTGTCTTATTCAAAATGTTACATTTTCTCTGAAAATTTGTAACGAATACTACCGTGGAAATTCTTTCGTAGTGGTATATAGGTCACTGACCTTGTTCCGTACATGTAGTATGTCTAATATCACTTCTGGACGGTCATCCCCTGAAAACCCTACCTATATGTATTTCGTCTTTTTCATACGCAACATATGTATATGTATTAGATCTGTATTGGATTAGACGATCTAGAAACCTAAAATTCTGGTTAATTTGCAGTAAGAAGTACATTCAATACACTGATGATAAATTGTTCATTAAACTCTGCTGGAACGGTACTAAGAAAGAAACTTAGCTAAGAGTAAATAATTGACTCTTCACAGAAGTTTTGCACGAAGAAGTGAATGATAGTGCTATATAAATTTCTTATTGTATTTCGTATGTATATTTTTAAATTTTCGATGAATGTACGAAGCCTACTTGTTTCATTGTTTAGAGACACTGTATATTTTCAAAATTGAATGCAAGATGCGAAAGAAGTTGAATGGTTGGTTCAGCACACAAGCAGTAGGTGGCGATGCATCTTGTTGCAGCACATGCTGCCGGCATGTTGTCGTCGTCACCTGTCTGCAGTTTTTTTTAGATCAATGCGGACATCAGTGTCGAGCATACAAGAGTGAATTGCTCGAAAAAACAGCACTGCGTAGGAAAAGCTGTACCCGCGTGGGTCTGAGTTAGAGCTTCCAGCACGTGAATAAGGAGTATGGCAGCGAATATGAACTATTTCGACCCACCCAGTTCGGCTAGTTCCGAGAGGTGAGCAACGTGTTTCCGTCAGTTTCATTTACGTAAACAGACTCTTGAATCTTTGTCATTTAGCGATGACGGGGAAGTTTGCCTGGACGAGCGAGACATCAGCCTCGTCGACGAGCTGTGCGAAGATGCTGAACACTACAGACGTTCTGATATCGGAACACCTACACCGCAATCTCGACCGCCTTCCACGGGTGAGACTATGGGTTCATTCATTTCACCTGATCATAAATAATTCTGAATGTATAGGATTATCCACTAGAAACCTTAATATTCTCTGTTGGGTTGATGTTTAAAAAAAGTACAATAGCCTACGACAGTCATAAGGGACAAACATGACATAACAGAAAATTCTTTTCCATCCTCACTTTTTAGGTATTATCAGTGTCAGTAGTCTTATCTTTGATTGTACAATGGTAGTTAAGAATAAGACAAATACATATTAAAATGTCTTGGATTGATTTGAATCTAAGAAAAAAAATTGAAGTTACTTATAATACAATCTAATATTTAATTGTACATGTTTGTACTTAAATAAATTGTATACTAATTATTTACAGTTTGGAGTACTTGCATTTGGCAGATAGGATGCACTAGGCTCAGCCAAGTAGAGAGCTTGTATAATTTCAGAAGGACAACTAAGATTCCCAAAAGTATTTTTCTTCATACCTTTATCCTTCCTTATCGTCTTTATTTATCCTTCAAAATTAGTTTTCACAAGAGCTGGTGACTTGGTAAAAGTCTTAATTGATTAAATGAATCAATGGAATTTTCATGCAATCATTAGCTTTGGTGATAACACACATCAATCAAAGAGATTGTTTAAAAATTATATTTTATGAAGTATTTTAAAAACTTGATCCTTTACCTTTTCCTTCCTTGAGACATTACATGATTAACACTTTGTTAGTTAGATAAGTTTCGAAATATGTCATCAAAATAAATCATTAACTATGTGGTAGGTTCTCAAAGATCACCACGATCACGAAGACAACGAACTACTAGTTTGTCTCAGTCTAGTAAAAAGACATCTGCAGAATCCATCCTTAGGAGTAAGACAAGAACAATATATACAGCTGGTAGACCACCATGGTATAATTCAGCAGGCCAGCAAGTAGAACCTTTTGTAATAGGTTAGTAGTATGTATATATAAGACATAATGAAAGCATACTTGAGATTATTAGTAGTCTTCTTTAGGAATTTGTGGAGGCAGTGCATCTGGTAAAACTACAGTTGCAACAAAGATTATTGAATCCTTAGATGTACCATGGGTGACATTACTCAGTATGGACTCATTTTACAAAGTATGGGCAATTGTTGTTTTTGATTATATAAGTTGTATTAATTGCTATCAAAGTCACTGTATTAATAATCCATGTTTCAGGTGTTGAATGAAAAGCAACATGATATGGCTGCATGTAATGAATATAATTTCGACCATCCAGATGCTTTTGATTTTGAGCTCCTTAGAACAACTTTACAACGTTTAAAGGAGGGCAGAAAGGTGGAAGTTCCTATTTATAATTTTGTGACACATTCTAGAGAAAGTAGAACCGTAAGTAGACATTAACAGATGTGTTCAAATCAATACTAAATTTGCATTAAATATACTGAATTCCTCCTTGTCCCTAAGAAAACAATGTATGGTGCCAATGTGATTATATTTGAGGGAATACTGACGTTCTATAATGTCGACGTTTTAAAGGTAAGACGTATTGTCAAGAAAGGCACGATCACGGGATTGATAAATACATTAAGGTACGAAAGGAAAAGGAATATAAATTATCACTGATCAGCTTTCTTCGCTTGGTCAAGATGTGCGACATGAAAGTGTTCGTTGATACTGACGCTGACGTGAGGCTCGCGAGGCGATTACGCAGAGATATATCGCAAAGAGGAAGGGAACTGGAGGGTGTCTTAAAGCAGTACAGTACAATGGTACAACCAGCCTTTTACTATTACATTGCACCATTAATGGTTCATGCGGACATCATCGTGCCACGTGGTGGAGAAAACGAGGTTGCAATAGAATTGATTGTGCAACACGTGCATACACAGTTGCAATTGGTAAGGTGAACTGTTTCTCCAATATTAGTTTTACTGATCGAACTTACTTGTTATCGTTTCTTATTTTAGAGAGGTTTTAAACTCAGAGAAAAATTAGCTCATTCATATATTGGTCAGCCATTGCCATCTTCTCTCTACCTGCTTCCAGATACACCACAGATTAAGGGTCTACACACATTTATAAGAAACAAGGAAACGTATAGAGACGAATTTATATTTTATTCGAAACGTTTAATACGTTTAGTTATTGAGTACGCGTTGTCCCTTTTACCCTTCGAGGTAAGTACTACAGAAATGTATATTGAGAGGCGATGACAGTCTATATGTACTATTGCCTGCCCAAAGGATGTAACAATAGAAACACCACAAGGAGTGCTGTATCAAGGAAAACGCGGTGCTACGGATAAAATATGTGGTGTTTCGATTTTGCGTGCCGGTGAGACCATGGAACAAGCTATTAGGGATGTATGTAAGGATATTAGAATAGGGAAGATACTTATACAAACGAATCAACAAACGGGTGAACCAGAGGTAAGTATTTCTTTATATGTAATTTTCCCTGTACTTCGGGAACGCCGCATAATCTACTGAAATACGTTATAGCTTTATTATCTCCGACTACCAAAGGATATTAAAGACTACAAAGTAATTTTGATGGATGCAACGGTAGCGACAGGTGCCGCTGCCATCATGGCTATCAGAGTTTTGTTGGACCATGATGTTGCCGAAGAGAATGTATTACTTGTATCATTACTCATGGCAGAATCTGGTGTACACTCGATTGCCTACGCATTCCCGCGTGTTAAAATCGTTACTTCTGCCTTAGATCCTGTGATAAATGAAAAGTTCTATGTATTGCCTGGTATCGGTAACTTTGGAGATCGATACTTCGGAACTGAGCCGTCTTCAATTGAGAATTAATGCAAGCAGATTGCAATCTGGATTTTACAGTTACTTAATATCTATTGTTATAGTGCAAATACAGTTATCCCATATATCTTTAATAAAATTTGTTACAATCGGAAATACGTGTAGCATTCATATTATCCTTTCTACCCGTTTATACAAAACGGTCCGATAGTTAAACCATATGTACATCTTTTAATATATTCGTTGTCTAAAGAATTTTGTATTAAAGTGGTGTTGTGTCAACGTTGGAACCGATATCGCCCCTTTCAGCAGTGACACCTGCACTGCGCAATTGTCTGTAACCTCGTGCACTTGCTCGACGGGAACGGCGCCAAGAATCTAAATTTCCGGGACTGTTGCCGTTTGGCTGGCCCAATAGATACGTGATCAGTCTGTCGAGTGCAGCTAAGTCTTCGCTCGTACTACCAGAATTTCCTAAACTTTCCGGCGATCGAAAACTTTCGGGGATGGCTCCATCAGCGTGTCCAATATTTGTGATGTTGCTTGCACCATTGCTTTGAAGACCCCATTTTGAAGTAAACTATATTAAATATTTATATTAGCTGACTTATTCTATAGTGCTTTTCAAATAAAAGATTAGGTTTTTATAATGCCGTAAGCAAAAGTGATTGGCGCTTAATTTATGTATACTGAGCTTTAGATTCCGTAGTTGTTGAAAAGAAAGTTATAAATATGTATAATACTATAAGTGGAATTGAAGTATTAATGTAATCCAGGTTTAAATAATGTCTGTCACTTTGGTCATAAGATACTGTGCAAATAGTGGCAAGAATTATTTGCATCCGAAAAGCGCCATCCGTGGTAAAAGGATGAAACTGCTAGCCACTTAGTTTCTTCTTCGTATAATTAGATGGGGACATAGTTCCCAGTTTTTACCGCGATTTAAAAGGGGGAACAATGTGCCGGTTAAGCTCCAGTTTATTTTCAATTCAAAAGAACAAAAACAACCTTGTTCAAATCATAAGTGATCGTGATGTAGTCGGAGGATCTACAGTATAAATACCTGCTCAGGCCCGTGTTGACCATAACTAATTCGCTGCACTTTGCGGAAAGTTTCGTCATTGATGGCTTCACGCACCGCTTCATTTAAGGTTTGCTCTAACGCCCGTTGTTTCGTTTTACTCAATCCGTCGTAGTAACTGTCAATCATAAGCATATTTCCCTTGTTTGTATATGAACTGATTATTGATAGTTGTCATACGAATAAAAGTGTCTCATAGTTTCATGATTATAAATATAAAATAGGAGAAAATACAAATTCAGTTACTAGGTTAAACCTGTACAATGAAAAATTTAAACTGTTAGTTCAATTTTCGAAATTAAATACAGAGGGATTCAGTTTTTACCCACGAGAATATTGGACGTTACTCGAATATTGTATTATTCGAAGTTTATACACCGCTAATACCAATTTTCATTGCCATATTTACTAAAGTTTCTCAGGAGTCGCGTTTTCATGTATAAATTCCCCTATTTCCATTCGTGAACCACATCTGACACCCTGTGTAAAATAATCATGTCTCATTAGAGTCACCTTGAGTTCAGGGAGCTGTTATCTCGTGAAATATTCTTATCGCGGACCAGACGGATATCGTGTTCCCAGAACCGACGTAATTCTGGCGTGGACGTGTACGGGGCGGCGACTTCCTTAATCTGAAAGGAAACCACGAATCAGTAATTTAGCGAGAGAGGGAAGAGAGTGACTGTACATTATTCACGAGGGGAAATGGAAAGAAGCATTACAGAAATTGAACATTTTATAATCTAGCATTACGGGCAGTAGTCGGTTGCGTAATGGCGGAAAAATGGCGGCCGGCCGGCCTCTGAAATTATTCATGAAAATTGCATACCCATGATTCTCGCGATCTCGCACGGTCGACACGCGATTTTCATCTCTCGAGCGTGCTAGCAGTGGCCGACTGTAACGTGACCTTCCTTACCTTCAGGACTATTATCGCCGTGATAAAGATACACATCACGTTGATAAAGGTCAAGCACGCGCTGATTATACCGTTGCAGAAGAATTCGACCGGCAGGTAATCGGTGTACACGTAGACGTAGGAGGTGTTGTAATCCGTGTAGGACTCGCCTTTTATGTGTGGCATCTTAATGGGCCGATAGATTAGCCATATACACCCCAGCGCCCAGAATAAACCCTGGGAAAATTGTATTGTTTTTGGGAAGGTACATAAGTGTATCGATAAGTAATCCAAATCCTTTCGAATCAAAGCATTTTACCCGCTAGTTTCTTTTTAAAAAAGAAACAGCAGAGATTGTTGTGGAATTTCATTTTGATCGTGGAGATTTTAATTTTTTAAGGATTTCAGAGAACGTGGATTTGTGTTATGTTATGATTTTTGTTATTGTGATTGATTTATTATTGGTCACCCACGCAATTTACTACAGGGGGTAGCAAAGAGGCTGATATGGCGACACCGATCAGAGGTCCGCTGCTTCCCTGCAACAGGGCCACGGCTACACCAGTGCCAGATGGAAGAGCCCATAACACACCCATCCAGAGAGACCTGTAATTTCCTCTACGGGAGACACGTTTACGTTTCAGAATTTCCATAATTCTTCTCATTACATTAATCCGATTTAGACAATTCTGCCGGTCTTAATCTGAATTTTATTTTTTAAGGCAAAGTAGGGTTGATGTCAAGCGGTAAACGCACCTGCCTTTCATTTCGTCGGTGGGCCAGTCGTTGTAACCCCAAGGCATCTCTGTAGTACCCAGAATCAGGCCGAATATGAAGCCGAATAGTATAGAGACGAATATACCGAGCAACAAACTTTTCAAACCGATGAATTGGAGGTTCCTATCGGCTATTATAGTACCGAAGGTCAATGACATTACGGGACCCTTAACATAGCATTATAGACATCAATTAGTTTAAGCGTAAAATCAATTCAATTCGTGGTAACATTACGTCGTACCATTAACGGAGAGACCAACATGGCCGCGACAACATTCGTCGCGCTGTTCTCGATGAGACCAAGGGCTGCAAGACAACTGTACAAAATTGTCACAATGATTATTTTATGTCCAAAAATTCGTCACTTAACGTTATCCAGATCTCTAAAATTGAACTATTTAAGACGAAGTGATCCTTACTCCGCTGTCAGTACCAGCAATACATAATCGAACGTGAGATCTCCACCACTACGAACTCCATCCACGACTTGTTTCACCGTCAATTTCGATCGTATCGATTCCACGAAAGCCTTCCAAGCGTTCTTCCTCTCTTCAGATTCCTTTCGTCTGAAAGTAGAAATTTCAATCTCACAAGACGTGAACCTCGCCCGTTACCGCGATCGTTACGTCGAGCAATGTTTCTGTCCGATAGAGACCTTCGTGCTAGGTCGTCCTTAATGGCGGCGGGACGAGCGTTGCCCATGCCGCTGTACGTGCACTGGGTCGGAATCACGCTGAGGAATTGTTTAAAAGACAAATTGTAGACGTTTCGATGCAATTCTGCCCGTGGGCTCGTGGGTCACATTGAAGATAAATCACCTTACTATGGAGTTCATTTTCACGCCGATCCCCATCTCCGTTAGACAGTGCAGGCAGTTCTCGCATGGTTCCCCGGCGGGGACCGGAAATATGACCTTGACCCGGAACAAAACGTAAAATTTAACGATATTACTAGGGACTTCTACCGGAACGTAAAATATCGGTATTATACCGGCATTTTCGGTTGTACCTTCGTCCTATATAAGCCCTACCCTTACAGAAACCGAAGAAATACCGGTGTTTATTTCGGTTTTCGGTAATATATCAGATTCGGTATAGCTTTGATGGCATAATACAGGTATCAAAATTATATCGGTTTAAGTCTCTGGATATTACAGTTGGATAATAGTACCCTTTTATTACCTCGTAGTACATGTCCTCTTTATCTTTGCACCAAACCACGTGTTCGACTTTCAGTTTCTTCAGCAACTCTTCCAGTACCTTTGGTGACCGAAATATTATAAAAAGGACATGATATGTGTAATATTCTGTAAGTATTACCGTCGATATAATGCTATAAAGTGTATTTATTCAATGATCTTCTGTTTATAATAGAAAAAGAAGGCATGCTCTCTGTTAATACTGCTACCGTTTCCATCGACATAAAAACGGGACTCCTCCCGCGCAGACCGGAAGTCCCGTGTCCTCGAGGTCGACGATACCTCCCGCCATCAAAATCGTTGGTAACGTCCACGACACTATCCACGTCCCTCTCGTCATCGAGTGTCAGCAGTTGAGTTTTCGTTCTCGTCTCCCTGAGACGTAAATTCACCTTGGGCACGTCCACAGGCTTCTCTGGTTTCTCGTTCTTTCGCGGTCGTTTCGATGGCACACCAAAGATCAATTCGTGCTCGTGGTTAGACGTGGGTATGCAAACTAAAAACACGACACCGCCAGGCATTTCTTATTTTCGAGCGATTAAACGATTCAATAATACTAATCCCGTCTCGTGGAGTGTGTGATCTGTTCCGTGACTCTGTTCGTATAAATCTTTCAGCCTCGAACGGATCGTCGAAGCATCAATCCCATTAGCAGCGCGCTAATCGGTCTATCGTTTTGTCTTCAATTAACGCGATAAGTCAGTCCAGTTAAGTTAGTCCAGTTTCGTTCGGTTAAGTCTACGCTGGGTGAGTCTTCTGACTATAGTTCTAGAGCTGACATCGAAGGGTAAGAAGAAAACGCAATCAAATATGTCACGATGGCACGGGGATATTGAAAGAAGAAGGTTCAAATAATTTTTTTTTTACGAAATAAACATTTATTTTAACAAATCAACAGCGTAAAGATTAGCGTCTAGAGACTAGTCCGACATCTCGTCTGAGCTAGGTAACTAGAGGCCACCAGGAATATTCCGCGAACAAGGGAAACTCCGAACTCGTCTGTGATTTTCATGAGAATTGAGCGTACGGCGTTCTCGTTAAAATGCACGTTATGTATTTCAAGCGAACTGTGCGCGAAAAATGGTACTCCTTAGAACGCAATAACCCTACGGAAAAAGACCCTAAAAAACATACTTATAGTTACAGTTATTCGATTAATTACGCTAAACAATGAGAACCATAAAACGGTGTGTTTCGTTCAATTCCGTAAGTACGTAGCCAGCGACGAGGGCCGCGTGAAAATCGCCTTAAATTAGGTAATCAATCGTCTCCTCCCCTTTCAATTCTCACGAGAATCGGAATCCTGGTGTTTCCCCTTTGCGTAGCCTTTCCTCGTTAGTTCGTGCGCACGTCGGTACGCCGGGTATTTCTTGCGTCTTTCGTGTCCAATAAATGGTGGTGGTGGTTGTAATAGTCGTCGGTAATAACTAGCTACGTTTTTGTCCGCTAAGAAAACTTCCCTTATTTACATTACGGTGTTTATGGTCGCGTTAGGTACACTGATTTGCCTACGACTGAGATTCCTCCGCGGCTGCTCTTTTTTTTTTTTTTGCTACATCTCGAGACGCTTGTCCCGTTTTGTTTGTCGATCTTGTTCGCCATCGGTTATTATTTTACGTTTTTTTTTTTAAGGCCATATTCAAGGAGAGGAGCGTTCGGACAACTTTCAAATTACATCGACGACGTATGTCGTTTTCCTATAACGAGCGTATCCTGGTCGAAATGGAAACTGATTTTCGGGGGATGAATCTCGGATGAAAGGGCAGTTATTTTTTGGGGTACGGAGTTTTTTCAGTTTTTATTAAAGGAAAATTAAAGTCAATGTCGTACTGTTAACGTCAAGTTAATTTAGTTTGAGAAGATTTGAATACTAATTTGCGAAACAGTTACCTTGGTGATTTAAAATATTGGTATTGAATTATAAAATTAAATTGAATTATTGGTAAAAAGAAACTTAATACTGTACAGTGATGATGTTTCAATTTTGTGTAGTGAAACGATAGAAAAAAGGTCGCATACATACACTTTTGTAAGAATTTTCTTGCAGTTCCTTGTTGCTTCATTTCAAGTGGATTCCATTTCTGGGGGATACGCTCTGTATAAACAATATTACGAAATGCTAATTTTCTTGATCCTCGTATTATGTACATTCTTGCACGAAACAGTTTACTTTACTATTATCCTTTTTCTTTTAGATATCCTTCCGGTGGGTGATCCGGGAAACGGTCACGCAAGGATCATCGTCGAAAACGTGACTGTATAATACGAGTACGTTTGTTGCATCGAGAGAGAGGCCGAGTCACTGCACAGACTTTCGCAGATATATTCAACGTCTGTAAGTAACATACATTAAATGAAAGAAATTCCATTTCTTCGAAAAAGTTCCCTGCTGTTTCATGAAAAACTGTGATTGAATTTTATGGCTCATTACTGATAAATAGATTGCGGATATTTTTTGCAATAAATCATGAAAAAAAGAGCAACTGTAGGAGTTTTTATTTTCTCTGAAGTAACTTCCGAATAGAATAGAAAACTCATCTGAAAGTTTTGTCTTTTATTCTTTTTCACAGAGCTCTATAGATTATAGTTGCATTAAATCAGCTCTCTACTGATAAATTAAACATAGTACATACTTTGTATCTGTAGCAAATTCTCGCGAATGTCTCTACAGAAACTCAGCCTCAGTAGGGTAGCTATCTAAGCATAGACATTGAAGTTCCTGTTGCTGGGAACACAATTTAACCACGCATAAATTTTATAGTATCAGAACTTCGAAAGCACAAATTTCGCCTAATAATTTTAATTCTCCAGAGTCACGAGAACAAAGTAGATCTTAAATGTGACACATAGATCACGGTATCGAAAATTCTCGTTAACTTGATTCTGTCTCCCCGTTAACTCAAGCACTGGAAATTCAATCGCAACACGGGTTAAAAAGAAAATATAAGATAAGAAAGATGATCCAGTCCCAAAAGGCAACAGGAACATATTTACCCATCATCCCTTGTAGACCATGCAACGGCGCGGCGCGTCCTAATTTCACGAGACCTCCGATCTATATAAATTGTTAAGCAAATCGCGCAAGATGATCTCAGCGTGCCGCGTCGGTTACCGGCGTCTCGTGCTTCTCCCAGCAGAGAAAAACCAAAAAGTCGGAGACTACAACCTCTGTCACAGGGTTTACAGCGCACACCAAGTACGGCGTATTTCCAACGCGTCGCAAAGGCAACGCAGATCGTGTCCTCGCGGTCACGCAATTCAGAAAGTCACCGTTCCTATTCTTGCCGGAAGTTCCGGTCGTAGCTAGGATACTTCTAGGAATCTTAAGGCCACGATACCAAGTCTCGTCAGCGATCTTCACAGTCGTGTACACGGCAGAATGCACAGCGGTCGCTGCTCGATGCCCGAGAGAACAGAAATAAAGGAGACATTTGGACCTGTTTTAGGAAATAGGCGAACCAAACTCCTCTGTGATCGATCGATCCAGCACGCGGAAAGCGGAGCGCAACGACGATCGATCGAAAAAGGCTCCCGTGGACGATATCCGTCCATACGTTTCGCGCTCGTGCAGAGGAAGCATCGAAAAATGAACTACGGAAAACCATCCGTTCCTACCCCCTCCCCCCTTCCTCCGTCTGGTTTATCGTGTTTGACCATCAGTCGCTCGTGGAGGAAATGGTATCGGTTAAAAAAATAGCTTTCTTTCTCTCTCTCTCCCGCTCGCTCTCTTTCTCACCTTTGCTTTCTTTCACGTACAACTCGTATCGGATATTCGAAAGGATTCACGCACAGTGGGTTCGAGTATCAAAAGGATCGCGATCGAACATCGACGCAAAATGGCGTCAGTGTTCACATTATCCGCGATCTGTTTCGCTCGAACGACGCGTGTACTCTGTTTACGGTGTCCTATAAAATTACGGGGCCGACGTAACGTAGACACGGGCGGATAAACGAGAACTATATTGTAGAAAATTATTTTTGATTATTCCAATATCTACTTTAATACAGTTTCACTTCGGGTTGGCCAAAAATCTGCTTCGTATATTTACAAAATCTGGACTCTACGTCGGTTTCAACGAAATCATTTCTGGAACGGTTTAATATCTCCAAAGTGATTCTCTATTCACGTGAACGTTTACAATTAGGTGTACTAATGACTATTCCACTATCTTTTTTCTTAATAAGATGACAGTATAGTATACAATTCACAAATCCTCTCGCCCCGTGCGCTTCATCGAAATGGCGTAAGGACAGCTGGAGAACAACAACCAACATTATTCACGATCATTGGAGTAAATATTGACTTCGTGTGAGAATAATGAATTACTCATTAGCGCATCTAACAGATACAAGTACAACGTTTCAATATCGATGCCCATTCGTTTCGAAACTCCGAAACCGTCTGTATTTGGTCGTTCCGTATCTACGTAGCATCGGCCACCGTTTTAAACCCGGAAACAAAAATATTCATCTCCCCGTATAGGAAAACTACCCCTACGTCTTTGGAACAACACTTTTTTTTTCTGCGTGCGAATGAGAAAGCATCGGTGTGGTCAACGAAGATACTTTCCGTCATCGTGGTCCAGGCGGAAGGGGAGGCTGCCGTTAATCCAAAATGGCGGCTGATTCTGCCGCTACTCCAAGATGGCGGCCGATCCTCCCATGTACTAGAACGTCCGTCCTCAGAGGGCAGCACCGATTCGACCCGATCGTGTTCGGCGAGAACTTTTCTCGGGAGAGAATCGCCTCAGGGGGTCGATCAGAGATTGGAGAACACTGTTTCTCTCCATTTCAGACAGGAGCGCTGGGTCGTCGCAGGAGAGACGAGAGCAACGAGCGTCGAGGCGGTCGTCGCCAGGGGCGACGTAATCGGCGCTCGTTCTCCGCGTGGGACGATGATGTCTGCTCCTCGACGATCCCCAAGGGTCAAGCCTTCTCCTCTTCCTCGTCGATGTCCTCCGACGACTCCGAGGAGTCCGTGATCAGGGCGGTCGACAGGCTCGGCACTTGGGCCGAATAGGGGAACGAGGTCATCCGGTACTTGTGCGGTGGATTCCAGCATTCCGGCAGGGAATGGGAACCGTCGTCCGTTACCTTGTCCGACCGTGATCTCTCCATTGAGCCCAGTTCCATCATTGACACCCGCCTCATCGGACCCTTCCTACCATCTGCAAGAATCAAATGTTTCTGCTTATCCGATTCTGTCTTCGGGACATTTTGTTCCAAATATAGTGGACTATATAACTTTGATCAAGCTATGGTAACGTTAATAATGCATTAAATTTGTGGGTGTAGCATATATTAGCAGCATGAACGGACGGTATACGCCCAGATATCAGATGACGCCTTAGAGCTAAAATAACTGTAAAATAGACGTCTTTAAGGCGTCATGTGGTATATGGGCAGTAAATTCTCAATAAGTGCTCGCAAAGAACTTCAGTACATTAAAATAGAATTACTTTCGTTGTGTGTTGTGGAATGTAGAAGAATGAAACAACTGTACTTACCCGAAGCTCTTGAGGGTGAGTCTGTCGGTTCCGTCTCCGTCAACGTGTAGTCGTTATGCTTGTCCAGGGTCTTGTGATCCATACTGTCGGGGGTGCAAACACTGTCGCGTCGGAACAGTCCGATCACCGATTGAACCTTCGGCTGTTCGATTCCACCTTAGATCAGAAGAATCAATTAATACCGCAATTAAAATTAATCTACAGGGTGTTTCAGCAATCTCAACTGTTTATAGAACGCGTAGCCTAAAGATAATTATTTCGTTTAATTACGTGACACCTGTATAACTTCCACATGAAACAATATTTTCAATTATTGTAATACTATCGATTATTATGCTGATCACAGTCGACACAAATGAAATACCCTGTGCATTGCGTCAACGTGCAAAACCAGTGCTCGAAAACGTAAGCATACGTGAAAACAGAAAAAAGTGACTGGTCTCAAAGGCTGAATTCGGACACGTCAAGAAAACCAAATGAATTTTGCGGTGTGATATAGATTGTGTAGCGGCTGATGCGTGTGTAAAAATGTGTGCATGCGAAAGCCATCAGGGGGATTGGGTAACCCAAAGATCGAGGGAAAAGAAACAGATTTTGCCGTGGACATCGATAAAGAAGAAGGACGGGAAAATTCGGAATGACCTGATGCGTAACATTTACATGGTCTCCAACCGGAAGCGGGCGATTATCGTGATCCAAAGATATCCCCCGGCTTCGTACGTTGCCTCGTCTTCACAAATATTCATCCCCTGTAAAGTAGTGTTTTTCACTGTTCACTGCCATCGGACGTATCTAGTCACCGAATGGACAGGTATTTTAAGTATTTCTCAATTTCAGACGTGAAAACGACAGTGACTGTGTAAAACTTATCAATTAATAGCCTTACTTGGCCGCCATCTTTTCTTAGAAAGAATCTGGATTACTGTTTAAATTGAACCTATCTTAAAAAACAGATTTTCAATATAGTAAAGTTTAATCAGAACTATACTGAAAGGATTAATGAATTTTGGTCACGAGTAGTCTTTTTGAAAAATCTTCTCCGTTTGTGTATAAGGGATTACCTGATCCCCATCAAAAGAAGCCTTCGTGATCTTTTCAGAACAATAAGCGTTAAAAAGTAGACTTAATATCACTGGAGTGTACGATTTCTATTCGTGTAAAATTTATAAACAGTGTAGTGTATTAAATGTGTGAAAATTATTCAACTGTGTTTACAGTCAGCCAATGAAATCAGTTTACTACTTTCTACTCTATCTCTGCTACCAATCGTCTCTATGGCATAACGAAAATCTACAGTTTTTTCTGGTAATCTTACCTAAGAATGTAGCCGAAGGGGAACTGTACGCTAAATATTCTTTGTTGGAACACCAGGCAGGGAATTCGTTTTGTTTAACAGGATGACCGGAATCGTAGTCGTCCTCCCTCTTCCATGGTAGCATGGTTTCTGTCGCTGTGGGCGTCGTCACTCTGTAGCTTTCTGAAGTTCAAGCATCGAAATAATTTCCCAATATTAGAATCTTGTTCCTAATTGAATCTTTAAGTGGTAAGCTGGAAATCTTATTATACATATACTTATTCCTACTACTACTTACGATTTTTACGAATTGATACAATATTCGATTGTCTAATATTTAGTATGGTAAAAAGTTTCAGAAAGTTTATTTCGATATTTTTTTTATTTCAAAACTATTAGAATCCTTAACAGGGTAAATAACTTTTTTATGTGTCCCTGTTTCGAGAAATTAATCCATAAAGTTCTATATTTGCATAAACGCATCTGGAGTCTATTTCGTAAATAGTTGTTTTGCATTCACATGTTAGAAAACATCGAAATAAACAAGTATCTCTTGAAGTATCTATTGAATAAAAATAAAACATTCTAAAAATATTCATGGGTTTCCTCACAGAGATTGGCAAATTCATTGCCTAGATAAAAAGTTTCAAATAACGAATAAAAGATAAAAACGTACTTCGCCAATTTTAATTGATAAAAAGTAGAAATTCTAGTTTTTATAATAAAATAATAATATTTCTTTTTGAATGAGTAGATACTTAGACAAAGGTCAGGATGATGATCTTAGTTATTATTGTTTTCCGTTGTGTATTATTCCATTAAAATTGCGCCCAACTTTGGTTCCTCAGACCGCACCTCGTCAGTTAAGGGTTAAAAAACTAAACGCTAAAGATCCATTCTTAACGAAATTACATCAGAAGAAAATGAACATTGGTTAATATTATCGAACTTACCATCACGTCCCAGCTTCATATCAGGGTCCTCCGTATCAATAGTGTCCATCGAGGTAGTGCTAGTGGCGCCATGTTGGTTCTCTGCGTTCGCGTTCGACGAGTCTACGGTAATAATCGAGCGACCAAGCGTTTGTGAGTGAATCGCCAGATAGAAATTAGTTGCCGGAGTCGTTGAAACCGGACTTTAACGAGCCACAGGGGCTAATCATCGAGGAGCCAATTCCTCAAAGGGACCGTTGCCCTGAATCGCCGGAGAAAATTTCGCTCGAAACTTCGCGCCCGTAATGAGCGCATGGAACTTCGGGTTCGAATCAGCTTTGTGGCGAAAACGTAAGAAAAAAGAAAACCGTCGAATCCTTACCGGAAGTGCGAGCCGTAAAAGTTATCGCGGAGTCCCAGTCGTCTTTGCTCGACGGCTTCGAGGTGTCCCCGTTCTCCAGCTCGTACAGCACACCGTTGATGTAATCTGCGACCAATTCAGATTCACGTATTCAAACGGGAACTTCTTTTTCTGGTTAGTTTTCTCGGTTCTTTCTTTCTTTTTTTTTTTGTCTGTCACTTTGAATCGAACGTCGATAGGTCTTTCTATAATTTACCTTGGGTGAACAACTTCGTCGAGCCGTTCTGCTGGAACTCCGGGAAACTCACGTGATTCTGCTTGCCGTCCTTGCGATCGAGAAGAAGGAAGTTTTTAATTGCATGGCGACCAGCCATGGGAATTAAGTCTGACGTGGGAAAAAAATGTGCACCGATGGTATTTTATTTGAACGGAAAACTTTTCTGGATGTCACTTTGAAGTTTCGTGTATTTAATATAAATAATTTAATGGAGATCATCGATTGCTTTTGTGCGAAAGTATGCGACTATTTGACAAATATTCGGAAGTAGTGAAATTTTAAGTAAATTAACCGACAATTGAGATTCTTAAAAATTGGCATAGAGTAGAAAGTACTGTTGAATGTTAATCGTATTTATTTTTGTTAATCAAGAGAAATTGTTTGTATTTAATGCATTTTCCAATTTTTTCATTTGTAAAGCAACGATTGTAACAGAATTTGGCCATAATTTATACCTTGGTGTAAGACAGACTAAATTCCCATCGCTACAAGATTATAACGTCGACCTCGTACTTACTTTGAGCAATTTTTTGCTGCGCTTGTGACGATGCTTGTGCTCGCCCATCATCCGTCGTATGTTCATGTGCATTTTGTAATTGACTTGGGTCGATAGATCGCGATCGTTCACCGCGTGTCGGCTGTAGCTCAGCCGTCGATGCTGGGAGAATTTTATTTCATCACTCAGGAACTTGTTTCCATCCCCCTTTTTCTTTATTTTTATATAGCGGTTCTGAAATAGGTAGCTAAACTTTAGGAGCGTATTGTCCCCTCCCGCGGAGCACTCGTTCACAAATACAACGGCTACGTTATATAATCATTTTTCGTTTCGCTTCCACGAGCTAGCACCCAAAGTTCAGCCACTTACTTGAGAATCACCCTGTAGAAGCGATAATAAAGGGCAAGAGGAACGTTCGGAGCTCCTAGGGTGACTAGGGGTTAGCCGTTCTTTGCGCTCCCCCTCAATCGAGACCTCGAAATCCACCGTAAAATTTTTAACTGTCAATATTCACCTGACTCGTCGTTATTCTCTAATTCCTCAAACTTTAAACATCGATCATCAATCCCAATTCCACCTACACATTTACAGCCGTGAAATCGACAGCTAAAAATTTCCAGCCAGCGTAACTACGGATTCACCAGCCACGAGACAGATGGGCGCTACTCGTGTCGTCCTTTCTTCTTTTTTTTTTCATGAATACGAGAGTATGTCTGTGGTCGAGGGGATTGGAATTTCTCAACGTTAAGATCCCGTCCCCTAGACATTCCGGGCCCCCCCACCCCCTCCCGCCGTCAGCAAAAGTTTTTCAGGGCCGTGAGCGCGCGCGCAAGCATATATGTAAATCGTTGTCGACTAAAGAGGGGGAGGGGGTGGTAGGGCTGCGTCTTACCCTCTTGTAAGGCTTGCAAAGTTCTTCGGCCAATAGGTGGTGGATCCTGGCGTCCGTCAGGTCCTTCTTGGATGGGTTGTACTCCAGCTCTTGGGGATCAATATTCCAGCCCGCTTCGAGCTGGCTGCAACTCGGACTGGAAGGAGAAAGAATGAGACTGCATTTTATGACGAGCCTGCCACTTCGAGATCGATACCAGGTTGCCTCGAGGAGGGCTCGCCTCGTTCAATCGGGAGGATACAATGCAGACTTATCTTCGGGGCCACGGTTTTTCATGTGCAACGCGTGCACAGGAGAACAGGGAGGGTGTGAGTCATTGGTACTTCGCCGCCCCTAAACTACTTTCGGAGCCCGACATTCGACGACCGGGACCGTGATGCTGGGTGAAATTTGCTGGGTGTGATGTGGTTCTGAGATAACGCGGTTAGGAGCTTTTCTTGATGAGATAGGAGGATATTGTTATTGGCCAGTAAAAGGCGAAATGTAACGAAATGGAGGGGTAAACGACAACTAATTAGATGGATCTCTGCTATGTCCGATCTAACGATTCTCTTGACGAAATAAGCAATTTTTTTTAGTATTTTCTGTTCGTGTGTATTGATTAAGAAAGATAGGAATTTATAGGAAATATCATAGTAGGGTCGGGGATCTTGATTGGTTTTAAGAATTCCAGAATTTTTCAGTAAGTTAAATGTGTACAGTACGATATAGGACGTTCTACAGTTAAAGGATCTAACTTTTTGGAAGCAATAGGAGAAAAGATTCTATGAAAGTTGTCCAAATTTGCTTTACTAGAAAGCTGTAATAAAAATATTACAAAATGAAGGTAAAGTGGGATCACTTATAATAATATTGGCACTTAAATGTTCCACACCGATAAATATTTTACTTTTATATATTTCAAACAATAGCTACGACAAAAATGAACGATTTATTATCTGTTATTACTTCCATATTCAAAATTATCTTATAATTTTTTTAATGAAGTGTCTCTGAATCAGTAGTACTGAATGAGTTAGTAATAACGATAGTTCATTTCTGAAGCGTCCTCCTACACCTCTCGTAAAGTTGATTTCTACAGCATTGTGAACCACCTTTAAATCCATCAAATGTTTCAAAGATACTTTTCACTACTTCACAGTTGTCCTACGACTCGCCAAAATCTGTCTAATTAGAAAACATTGAATTAAAAGCGCGGTAGATCCGTTTAAACGATAGCCAAACCGAGCATCCACGACTCGTCTGTCGTTAATTAAAACTTTCTTTATAATTAATATTTTGTTCCCTTTTGACCGTCGTGCGACCTGTTCTCTCGAAGGAGCATTCCCCTGTGGATTTGTTATTGTGAAAATAAGCAGGTCAAGCGTAAAGGAGATCGTAGCTTCTTGTCCGTGCGCGCGGATTGAAACGTAACCGGGCAAGAAGGGAAGGAAACGGAGGGGTAAAGGGGTGGAAAAAAAGGAAGGAAAAAACAAAGAAAGAAATCGTACCTTCCATTGAACTGTCCCGTGTTGCTATAGTTGCGGAATATCGCGGACATGCTCTCCGTCCCGCTGATATTACCGATCGTGGACGCGTTCCTTCTAATATAATCCAGGGCGTCTTTCATCGCGAGCTTCGAGTATGTTTCCAATATTTTCGGCTCGGCCCCGTAGTGATCTCTCACCAGATACGGCCGGATGAATTTGTTATCGAACCGTTTGAACCTGAAAAAAACATGACGATGGGAGGGAATAAAGAGATTTTGCAAATTGTTGTCGAAATCGGAAAATATCGAAAAATGGAAGTGTTATATAGAGATCCTTGAACATTTAGTTTCTGGTGCAATTTGGTTTGGTGCTAATTCTTATCGAACTGTTCAGAATATTTCATATGTGTCTGATTTTAATTTCAAAATGGTATCTGTTTGCCCTTAATTCTAAGCTTTACGCAAAATTATGTCTAATTCTAATACCCATATATGTGTATTATTACAACTTCGAATATTACAAATATCTCCGTTTCACACAACAATAGTTTCCATCAGTATACACACAACATGTTTAACTGCCTACGTTTAGACACAAAATTAGATAAAAATTCCTTCCAATCAGTATTTAACTGGCTCTCAAAGCGATTGTATGCTGATTGCGTAGGCATATTAATAAAAAAGAAGTCGGTGTGCCTAATTACACGGTTATTTGTAGAAGTCGTGTAATTAGCCCTATTCATACTAAGTTAAGTAATTTAACCCTTTGCACTCGGAATTTCTAATTTTCCATACATTCTATCCCTTTGGAGGGGACAGTCGAGTGTAAATGGTTAATAGAATATAGAATGGATCTACGTACTTATCTCGAACATGGTAATTCCCGTGCTTCCCCAAAATGTCCTCGACCCCGGCCATAACGTGATCCATTATCTAAAAACAGAAACGTCATTTCCTCTCACGCCTCGTTTTTTTTTTTTCACTCCCCCCTACCAGGGGGTGTGGATCGTTGGCCGCTTATTATATCCGTTATCTGGCGTGATATATGCTAAAGGGTATCAACCACGAAACGACTTGGTTAATTTACCGGGGCCATTGTTCTTATTTTGACACGTTCATTTGCGCTACCAGGCGCCCCCCTCGGCTTGAAAATCAATGCGATCCTAGGGTGCACACACGGGGTACGGTCAACGATTATTGATTCCCCCGTATCGCGGCCCGGCTATTCTTTTTCAATATTTACATTAACGACACGAGGATACGCCGCGAGCCGTGTCTATAATTTACAACGTCCTCCAACTCATACGCCCCGCCGTATCCGCCCCTTTCCTTTGTCTAGTATTTTTATTAGCCGATCGATCCCCGTTGCGGCACGAGGAAACGTTTAAAAAAAAAAAAAAAAAAAAAAAAAAGTTAAACGTTACGGTGAACGACGGCGTTTGCGAGTCGCGAGGAACTCACGCACCCTCTCGTGAATCCTCTCGTTCATGGTCGGTTTCTTCTTCTCCGCCCTCTTCACGTTCAGGATCTTCACCAGTGGCTTGATCGTGATACCCTGGAAACGGAGAGATTGATAACGGGCACTGGTGACGGACGAATTTCGTTGATAGAGATACTGTTGGATGGTTGTGCAAGCGGTAGAGTAGGGCAGGCATCTTGGGTCAGATTACGCGAATTGGGAGAAGAATCGCTGACCGGGATATTGTCGGTCCGGTACCTGATTAGTTCACTGAGATCATGTTAGATGGTTTCAAGATATGGATTGAATATACTCTAGGTATCTGAGAACATATGAATTCTGTCTATGGAGTGTTATGAATATTCATGTACTCGTGACGGTGGATAGATGATTGAGTACCTAGAAGAATTAAAACTAACCTGGATTCTGTTAGGTACCTGTTTAATTCACTGACTTTGTATCAGATTATTTAAAGATATGAATATGAACAAAGGTATTTTAGGTATTTGAAACGTTATACCTAAATTCTGTCTGTGAATAGTTATGAATATTCAAGTACTCGTGACGGTGGATAGATGATCGAGTACCTAGAAGAATGAAAACTAACCTGCATTCTCAGTTAGGTACCTGTTTAATTCACCTACTTCGTATCACATTATTTAAAGATATTAGTATGAACAAAGGTATTCTAGGTATCTGAGAAAATATAAATTCTATTTGTGAATAGTTATGAATATTCAAGTATTCGTGAAATTGGCTAGATGCTTCAGTACCTAGAAGAATTAAAGCGATCCTGGAACTCAGGATATCGAAGTTCGTTAAATTTCCATATGTAGGAACGTGGAAGTGTCAAAATACTCGAGAAAATGAAACTAACCGTATATTCTTGAGTACCAGAATCGATGAAGGTGAATGTAAACAGTACTAGAGACACACAAGTGAACCCACGTATGTCATTGTTCTTATTATAGCCAGAACTTCAGCAGCTCGAACAGAATCTGCCTGTCGAAGTTGCCCTTCTCTGCATAGATTATGCAGGATTGAGCGTCTATCGCGAACCGTTCGTCGGTGGCTCGAATGCCACGATATCGAGTTTCCGATCGACTGGCCGACAAAGTCGACGGTGTTTTTAGAACTAATGGAACCACGGACTCGGGTCCCGCTCCATTCGCAAACAGGACGCGCCTTCCGGATGAAAGAGGGTGTTTTTCCTCATTCCCTCACCACCCTCTCTTTCTCTCTCTCTCTCGCTAGGCCTTTAACCTTTTGCAATTTAATTGCGTTCGTATTTGATTCGCTCTTATTTTAGATCGTTTTAAATCCCCCCGTGGAGAACGGTTCGAGCAGGAATCGAAGGGAGTCATTATGCAGAGAAGTTACAACAACGGGAAAGTAGTATTGCCTTCAAGCCTTGGATAACGCGTGGACGTCTATTTCCACGAGCGTTGTTGTATACGATGGTACGTGCATGTAAAATAGGAAAAGAATCCTTCGCGCTGGTTATATCCACGCTAATATTACAGGGGAATATATTTCCGACCACTAGACCGTGCACAGGGATTGTCGTAAAAGCCTACGCGCGGCGGGATAGGGGGTGGATGGGCTCGAGTTTATCCGTGGTTGTCTATGATGGCAAAATGACGGAGGCGAATAATAAAAGTTGTTTTTATACCCTGGGATACCATGCAGCGATACAAATTGTGATAACGGGCCACGGTGTATTCTTCCCATGGGTGGGCGGCTCTTTGCAAAATGTTGTTTCTTGCCTCGGCTGCCAGCTCGAAGCTAATCGAACGGCCTTACGGCATCGTGTGTCGGGATAGATTGCATTGGGGAGCTGAAGTAAATTTTTAGGTAGTATATTCCAGTTGAAGAAAATAGTTATTTTCGTTGGGAATCTAAGATTTTTAAGATGGGACAGTAATTCACATTTAGTTAACATTCGAATGTTCGGAAAGTACGAAGACTTGAAGCTTGTTATCTTACAAACTTGAAATTAAAATTTAGGAATTTGATAATTTGAAAATGTGAAGATATAGGGACTTGAAAACTTGAGAATTTAAGAATTTGAAAATGTGAAAATTTAGGGATTTGAAAATGTGAAAATTTGAAAACTTAAAAATTTAGGGATTTAAAAATTCTGAAACCTGAAGATTTTGAAGGCTTGAAAATTCTAAATGCCAGTCTTGAACATCATAATGGAATCGCAAGGGCCATTTCTTGGGAATGATCGTCGATCAGACACGAAAATTTGATAACAGTAAATTCGACCGGTGTTACTGAATGGTTCCCGGGTCTAAATCAACATCTCTGGAAGTTTGCTTCTCCGTAACCCCAGCGCCGCCGGGAGACCCGAGTGCCACACTTCGAGGGATGTTGATTTAGAGAAAAGGGATTTTCCTACTATTATAGTAGCCCTCTTTAAATCGAACAACCTTTATCGTTATTCTTCCCTGTGCCTATAACCGAGTCTCGGATATTTTCTGGCTGTTACCTCGGGCACATCTGTTATTCTACCAAACACATTTAGTTCGGTAATATCCATCGTACACTTGAGATATTTTAATTCAATCATTATAATTTCTAAGAGAAACATTTGCAATTCTCAGGAAACGCAATAAAAATGTTTTACAAAGGGAAATTCCGCCCCTCAATGTATTCAGAGATACCTGGAATATTCAGTGCCTTCCTGAACTATCCAAACAATACAAATTTTCATCTGTCGTTCCATTTTATATAAACAAGGAAGTCAACTTGTCTTAACCCTTTAACGACAAAACCCTCAAATTGTTATTTCAAAATTATGAGAGATATATATGTTGTACCTTGTAATTTTTAAGTCGAAACTATCGATATTTAAAACCAACCTATTTTTTAAATTTCTTTTTATTTATTTTCAACCCTTTAACGTCTAAAGACTTCTTCTGGGAAAATAATTATTTTTCGCGATTAGTTTACTCAAAAATGGTCCCAAAACGTGCACTTTGTCTGTATTTTCACAACAAAACCCCTGGAGATATGATTTTCTAAATGTGACGTATATATCACACTGGGTGTTAAAGAGTTAAAGAGTTGAGTGGAAACTTCCTTCAGAAACGAAACAGAAATATAGAAAGAAAGAAATTAATATTAATAGTGAGTACTAATCTATTATTATTATCATAGTATTCAAGCAATAGTGCAGTATAATCCTATTTCAACAGACAGATCTGAAACAATCGCCACGCAAACCACAAAATCTCCAAAATACGTAAAAGACTCTGGTTTTCATCGCAAAAATCGTCGATCAAAAATCGAAGCTATCCGACCTTAAATAGCCCGCTGTTCTGCCGTTCGTAAATTGAAAGTAAAGCGTGACGAAGGGTTAAGGGGGTCGTACCTTTAACCCTGGTGTTCCTTTGATAGAGGCCATTGCTTGCAGCTGGCAGCATGGGAAACGCGACACCGGCTGTTTGCTAAGATAATGCTACAATATTTGCTCGCGACGGTCTTCCTCCTCTGCCCCACTAGCAGTTGTCTCTATTTTAAGTGAAAATTTCGGTTACCTGGATGAACACGGTGAAGTAAATGACGGCTATGGTGGTGGTGACGAACATCGGCTGCAGGGGCACGTGTCTCGGGTCGATCAGCAGAACCAATGCGAACGCGACAGCGCCACGTAGACCGCCGTAGGACATCACGAACTTCTCCACCTTGTCCAGTTTGTGCAGTCGGAATTGGTTCGCCACAGCTGTCAGCACGATCACACCTGGAAAATCCCCGTTTCGATTTTTCGTGAATGTCAGAATCTTCCAGGAGAAGGGGGAGGATTTTTGAGGGTCGCTGTCGGACATTTTAGCGGTGTGTCAGTGGAATCGGGAAGCCGTAAGCTAGTGACAGTAAGCCGTGATGCGAACTGATGGTCGCGGAAGAAGGGACGAATCCTTTTAAGAGTCTTTTGAGATTTTGTCACTTAAGGGACATCTAAACGCCTTGGATGAAGGAAAGGGGATCTTCTTTGGTGGAAATGACGCGTGTTGATGGCAGCCTATTTCGTGTTCGAGTAAATGGTGTAAAATAATCACAGTCGATTCTGGTATCAAGAGCAACATTCTGAAGTAGATACGCAGCATTAAGTTTCTTTAGTCCCCTAATGTGTTGTATCTATCGAGCACGTCTATGTGTGTTAGAGACATTATCTTTCCGTTGTCACACTGGGTCAAATTGAACTAGAATTTGAAGTAAAATATCTTTAGGCATCATTGTAAATAGCACTACTGGCGCGATGTAGTAATAATTTCAGATATTCTAAAGAAACTTCTTTCAGAATTTTGTATCTTTTTCAAGAATTTTTTTAAACATGACGAAAATTTGAATGTGAATTTTCATCATGAATATGTAATCTACAATGTTCAAAGTTTGTCGCAGAATTTTTTGTGATTTAGTTTAACAAATAGTCTTTAACTAACAGCTGATTGAATACTGGCTTGGGTAAAATTGCTCCAGTGTGACAACTACGTTTGACAATGGAGGGTTAAGTAGTGAAACACGAGATGTAAGTATTAATCATGTATTCATTTATGTGCTCCGAACCACGTCCCTGCCAGTATATTTCTTATAAAAAAAAGTATCGAAAAAGGATCTTCAGAATCGTATCACACGAATGAAATTCAAAGTCTCGGATCCGTTTTGGCAAGATCCGAGCCGGCCAACTAGTAAAAATAAGTTTTTACGTCGATTCGAAGATATTCCATGCATTACATTCCCACGATCGAATAAAAAGTCGAGTTCAAGCTGAAATTCCGGTCCAAATAATCTCCACACTCGACTCCGTTGGGTCCCCTCGTTCCACGGATTCAAAGCAGAGAAGTTCGCCGAAAATCGACTAAAAATGCATAAAACATGTCATCCTCCGATCGCCGTGCCAAAAATTGTCCCACGGGCTATCATCGGCTGGTTCTTCGCCTGTTAGCTAAAGACCGAGTGGGAACCGTAAGAAGCGATATTCTTGGCAGAATCGCGTAACCTCGGTAAGTGACACACGATAAGCGGTGATTGGTTTAGCTTAAGTCTCTTATCCCGGTGATACTATTAGCAAGTCGGACTCATCTGAATCGGCGCGGTTGGTATTACGCACTCCACCAGAACGATCGTATCGATCCAAGCGAGACGATTAGGGTGTTTCGAGCACATTGAGATTGTTGTGCTCCGATCACGGTCGACCTTTAGCCAGAGTATCAAATGGTATCGAATCTATGTAAAACCTTTCTCCCAAATTAATTTAAAAGAATCTTGCCTTCCTCAAAATTATATGTTAAATAATATTATTTACGAGGAAATTTTGAAGAATCGAAATATCTGTACTCTAAATGCATAGAATGTTCTTAACCCTTAGACTGCCAACCATTCGGAATCAGAACGCATGTTATGTACGATCTTACGATGACCTTTGTTAAGCCTGAATGGTAAGGTGGGTTTAAGGTACTTGGTAAGGTGAGGTCGGATCCGATCCATGCTCTTTTTTGCTGTTTTCAGACGGGTAAAAAAAATTATTATCTGGATCTTGTACTTTTGTTGAACTTGTAAACGTTTATTAAGTAATAGAAAATATTTTAAAACGAGAATAATATAAAAATAATAAAAAATAGAATAGGTATAGCACAAGAGGAAGTATAACTTCGGACTTTCAAATAATAATTTTAAAATATTCAATTGTTTGCCTAAATTTTATATAATATAACAACTGTATTTATGACAGAAGAAGCGTACAGCAAATATGAAGCAACGCCAGATTCAAGAATGGTCATTTGCGAATTTCTTGTTACAACGAACGAAGAAAGTCTAAAGGCACTGTTCGCTGTCAAAGGGTTAAAATTGAAGACAAACAAGATAGTACGAAGTAAAATATATCCGTTGAACATTAAAAAGAAATATCCAATCAAGTATATACCGTTGTTAAAGAAACTATAGAAGCTATAAGCGTCCACGATTTTCAATATGGCCGCCTTCTTCCCTCGCGCTAGTTGAGTCCACTTCCAAAAGTGGACAACACGTACCTAACAACGTATCTTATTCCACTCCGAAGACGCGAACGTAAACACTGACGCGTTAGACAACTTCTTCAACAAGAATACCATGAAACTATATTTTCCAATAAGACTATACTCGATTACCACCGTCGAAGCTTAATCGTCTAAAAACTCTGCGAAAGATGGTCGACCAAGGGGTGTAAAACAGGTCCTCGCGGTTTATTATAGAATTTTTACGAGTTCTCGGTAACTTATAGATCGTTTCTTCTGGTACTCACCGACGATCCGGTAGATCGAGCAGAACACGATGGTCGTGACGACGAACCACGTGTTCCAGTTGTGGGTGTTGTTCACGGTCGCCACCCCGAGGAACATGAATATGATGGTCTCCGATCCGCTCGACAGCATTTTCATCGTGTACTTGACGGTCGTGTGGGACTTGTGCGATATATTCGCCTCCACGTAGTTCTTCATGGTAATGCCGCAGAAGGTGATCCTGCGGATAAAGAGGTCACGGATAACAGAGGGGTGGGGGAGTAGGGAGAAGAAGGGAGTACGCGTGGCCGAGAGCACGGGAAACTCGAGTTATCGATCGTTCGCGCAGCCCGTTTCCTAAACGCCCGTCGAAATTAATTCGGACATACGATCCTGGGACGGCGGCGCTTACGAAATCGATGTTCGGCCGTGTTACGGGGACGATCGGGGAGACGCGGTTTTGCGGTTATGACACGAACATTCCCGTCGAGGTATTCTCGAAGGGGTGGCCGCGCAAAAATTTCTTACGTGAGCTCCTCATTAGCCGAACCGATCTACTCTGTGAAAGGACACGTCTGGGAAATTGATGGTGCTATAAATATGCCTTTTGTAACATGGTGATTGTTAGAATAGTAGTAAAAATGTCTGGGGGGGTTGACACCCCCTTTTGTCTCGAAATAGAAACTGTTTGGAGGGAAATTCATCGCTGAAGTTAGAGTCGCTAGTTCCTTTTGAGGATTTTCTGTGCTGATAGTGAAAGGGTTATGAAGGTTTTTAGTAGGTGTACTAATATGTAATCTACAGTGACTCTTAGATGAATGCGACACGAACTACGGCGTTAATTTCACCACTGAGGGGTGGGGCCCCTCTGGAACCAATCAAGACAGAGTAAGCAGAAGCTAAGCAGAAGCTCGGCTTTGTGAAAAAAACAAATTTTGTAAGGGGCTGAAAACCTTTCATTACTGTACTATTTTTTAAAATTGTGAGGCGGCACGTTTTAAAGTAAAAGTATGTTCTCGATCTTGAATAGTATAGATCCTTGACTTTTATAGAAACAAATACCGATTTCGTCAAGAAACGGTGGATTATTTATTGATTTTTGTAGTCCAGGTTTGAAAAGTATCGAATGTATTCAGATAAAGATAGGTTATAATAATAGATAAAGAAACTTTTTGACGATAATAGGTAAGGAAAGCACATTTGTGGCAAAATGATCCTAATAGTCCTTTTAGGTGCAGAGAAGTTCCAGTTCTTCAAGTGTGATATAATAATTACATTGTAGTTTGGATGTTGCTTAGAGTGTGATTCTTTTTAATAAAGCCTGTTGCTTATGGCGCACTAAGGAGGATGTATTTTATACGACTATCCTCTCAACAATTAGATATATTAAAATGAATTACTACGTATGTTTTCTGAGTTCTACAGAATTACTCCTTAAGGGACTCCTTAATGCACAGTAAATGGAAGAACACTGTGCGAGAGAGAACTCGAAACTTCCAGGCCATCTTAAACAGCACGTATGAACTCGAAGTTTCCATTTCGTAGTAAGTCTAAACCTCGTTCCACTAATTATACTACAATAAGAGACTAAAACAATAAAATGATAAAATAATTCTATGTATTTTCGAACAATCTTGTACGCTTTACAAGTTGAATCATATATAGTGCAACCATATTTGAAGAGAATCAATATACAGTATGTCACATAAGGGTTGTACTGCTGGTATCTAAACAAATATTAAGTAGATCGGGGCAAGACTGTGATAATTTAAACATATGTATATAGTTTTCCCTACTACACTTTTGATTAAATTTTCATATTATCAATAGCGTTATCGGGAAATTTTTATTACCCAGAGATACGTTTTTTCTCTAACTGAAATTATTATTGGCTCATTACTGACAATATTGGGTCTGTAAGGTACGAAGGTATATCCATCTCAAACACAGAAAATTGGGGCGAAAAAAATATTCTAATCGCAAATAGAGATATTTTTCTGAAAATATCATCAGAACGCTCTTGTGTGACAAACCGTAAACTATAGAAAAATATAAGATTTTCTATTACTTTTTTAAGTCCAACTGTAAGTAACAAAGCCTTTTTTTTATTATTATATCATTAAAAAAATACTGTATCGCGAATATAGACGTTGTCGATCGGTTGCCACTGCCGATAGTTCTCCCCCCTCACCGTCTTTTACGCTTGGGAACGCGACTTTCATTTCTACCGCATGAAACTTCTTCGACACGTGAGAGACGCGAAATATTGGAAACTCCCGTGTTGCATTGTCCATTACTACTTCGTTGTTGTCGAAGAAACGATGAATTATGCATAAGGGGCAGACTGGCGTCGGCTCCTCTGATCGAGGAACTTAACGCGCGCGAAAATTTTCTTCGACAACTATTACGGCTCGAAGGTGAGTTGATGAAAATATGAGATGCCCGGAAGTTCGAGCGGTATAAATTTACGAGCCACCCAGGAAACTTTGTGGGACCGAAGCTGGGTGGCGCGGTAACTTTCTCGGGGGGAATAAATTTTGAGAAATCTAGGGCGGGCTCATAATAAGACGTCCGAGGAAATCAGAGAGTAACGATGGGGAAGGTCAGCACTTAAGAAGCCGAGAGCTTCTTGCATTAATAAAATCGAAATTGAAATTTCTGAGATTAGTGTGCGGTCTCGAAATTGAGAAAGATGAGTATATTACCATCGTGATGATCCAAAATATTGTAACAGTTGGAAGGAAGTGCAAATGATGAATGTGGAAATGGAAGCTGGTATAATTTAGGTTTAATTATTTTCGACGATAAAATTTCATAACTTTCCATGGGCTGAACTAGGGGGCAGGGGGGGCACTTGCCCCCTGGACGGAAAAAGTGGCTTTTGCCCCACCCTACAAGAACAAAATTGGATTTCGTCATTTTTAATTGTTTAAACGTGAAAATTTCAATTTTTATAATAAAATAATACTTCTTATCTACAAGAACAAAATTGGATTTCGTCATTTTTAATCGTTTAAACGTGAAAATTTCAATTTTTATAATAAAATAATACTTCTTTATGAATCTCATTGACTGTTTAAAGCTCAGAACGACACCCTTAGATACTGCTGCTTTTCACTGTTTTTTATTCGAATAAAATTCTGCCCAATTCTGTCTAAAGGTGAATGATAATCCATATCAGTTATACAATTGTCCACCCTGTATATTCTTATCTAGATACGGACAATATTCATCAAGCTTTATGGAAATCAGGGAGCTCTTTTCCTACTCCTGCCAGTTAGAACCTCTTCGCGGTGGTAGTTTTCGTCATTCATTTATTTCAGCGTGACACCCGCGTATTTTACAGTCGTCCGTTGTTCTCTTCATAAAAAACCTCTCGATTGTCGATTCTACATGGCCCTCGCGTAGAGTTCTCAACTGGTTCCCCAGTAAACAACAATCGACCAGGCAACACGGGTGTCTGTGTCGCGGGAGTCCGCGGCACTGACGCGCGAGCCTGGCTCGAAATCCTTTTGTTTGCCAGTCAAATAGAGCGCTAGCGGCATTCTGTTTAACCGTATATATATGTATATATATATCTACATATATATACATAGAGAGAGAAAGATAAAAATCGACTATGGTCCCGTGCAAGAACGACCGATTACGGGGTAAGCATATTTGAACAGTTATTACAGAGGGCGTACTTCTGCGCCGTGATCGATCATCGTCGGGGCTGGACTCTTCGCCTGGGAAACGTGTAAATAATAGACTTAACGAGAATCGCAGAGGGGTGGGAAAGTGATCGGTAAGGTTTTAAAGGATTTACGGCGTGGCTTTCAATTATATCGATAAAGGTGAAAGCCAGCGTTCGACCGTCTTGACTAATCGTCGGCCAATTAATAATCACGAAGAGTTCGGAAAAAGGCGGGAAAAAGGAAGAAATAAAAAAAGGGTACCAGGGGGAGGGAATCTTCGTTAAACTTTCGCTCCCTGGCCGCGCGTCCGCGATTCAATATTAAAAAGTGCTCGCGAACTTTGTTTATAATTGACGGAAGTAAAGGGCAATTAACGAGTTTCAGAGGCTGATTAAAAGCATCGTCGATCGGCTGCTAGGTTGCTCAGCTATTGTTCAAGAACATGCACGGACTACGACGAATATATACAGCGACAAGTCGCGTGAGAACCGGCCCGGGCTGGTCGTTTTTCAAATTTATTGCGACACATAATTTGGGGGTGTCAAGAAATGCTGGCCTGCACGTTTAATATAACTTCCAGGGCGATGGCGGACACGTGCGTGGCGGTTTGGCTTTATTGGTGCAAATGAGGGAATATGTAATGTCTGAGATTATAACGTTACCCCGTGTATGGGGTGATCGAAGAGATTATTCAATAATATTCTTGAAAATATATAAGAAGTTTTAACAAATTAACGTATGTCCACAAGATTGACCCTTTCAGGGTACTACTGAATAAATGGCGTCACATTAACCCTGCTACGGTTATCGGGTCTACACCGACTTAATCACGTTCAGGTTTTCTGAACGCTGTTAGGACTTTCGATGTTTGTCGATTTAATTGTAATTTCGTCTCTTCAGAAATATTTTTGCATTCGCGAAACGTACAAGGAAATCGTTATTGATCCCTTTCTTCGTCGTTATTTCGAATGTATAGCTGGACTATATATTCGAATTAATTTGAATATTAACTAGATTATTTTAAGACATTAATGTCATATCATGTGATAATGAAATGATTTTGCCACAGTAATCGATTGAATTGTCTCGAACACTTTAACTTTCATCGGGATAGAATAGAGAAGAGCCACAGAGGCTCTCAGTACAGAATAGCTGAAATGAATAATTCTAAGATATTTTACTTCATAATTCAGTTTATTATATTCTTTTAATTCAGTTTGTCTGTTTAGTAAAATAGTAATAATAAATTTTTAAATATTTATTACACGTATTATTATTTGTATATATTACTATACTTTTCATTGTGAAATAATAAAAGAGCCTCAGAAGCTCTTCTATCCAAATGAAGGTTAAGAAAATATCTCTGACACTGAGAACCCAGAATTGCGTGCAGAAAATTAAAGTAAAACTCTGAAAACTACAGGATAAATCGTCATAAAACAGTTTAGATCAGTTTAGCTTCTAGAGAGCTCAATTAACATCAGTATTATCCACAATATCTTTCATGTAGACATACCAAATAGATGGAACATTTCTCATATTATTTCCGTCTGTTTCCAACGATTCTATAACAGTCGAAGGTTACCACAGGCGAATCAATATGGCGTCTGGACGGGACGAAAGGTCGAGAGGTTTTATGGTTCTTTCTACTCACGCCAGAATGCTCGACATGTGAAAGATCTCAGCGTTCAGGTAGGCCAGGTACGCCATTACGAATATAAAGATTGGCTCGATCACCCGAACCTGGTGGGTGAACCTGGTAACGAAACCAGTAGCGAAGCCCCATATCACGCCGATTATGGTACCGCCGATGGCCACCACGAAGAACGACGCCAGGCCCGACAGTAAGTCCGTGTAAAGGATTCGCGATGGTCCCATCTCGCTGTACGCCTCGAACATGTGGTACAGCACCTGTACGGATCATTAAAAATTGACGACTCACTTGGTTAATCGAGCGACTTGAACGCAACTTACGGAGATTCGCGAGCCATGATCGTAAGACGAAGAACAGCGTGGACCAAGGACGCTTTATTTATTATTAGATCGTGGATATATGCGCAAGTTCCGATTTTTATAGAAGTTGTCGTGTTATTGGTGACAGAACAGAGAAGAAACTTTACAAGAATGAATCGAAAGGATAGAAGTTTTGGGGAATCGAATTTGCATCGGATATTCATCGCGGACACACGTGCTGCTGAAAGCAACATCGCAGCTGTCTGTCTGCGCGTCACTTACTGTTTCTACTTGTTGAAAGAAGTAGTGCATACGCGTGTCTGACAAATTCTGTGCGTCGTTTTGTCTTGAGAGCGATTTACTACACGCTTGAAAATGATCATGTAAAATGTTTTTATGAAAGATTTCTATTCTGTATTATATAACTTATTTTATAGTACGAGTATGGAGAATATTATTATGTTAGAGACAAAACGAAAATTCATTAAGCTATATTTGAGTGTTTCTGTAAGTCTTCGATTCTTAAAATACATTTGTACTTTGAAGATTCGTGTTTTATCCATAATTCTGTAGAAATAGGTGATAATCTAATCTCAAATAATCTGTAACTATTCTACGCTTCTGTCTATATCCAGGCAAAGTGTTACGTCCGGTACAGAATTAAATGTTCGAGGTACAATAATATTGATTTCGATACGGTGGGGAGGGAATACTCACGACGGTGACGGCATCGTTCAGGAGGCTCTCCCCGAAAACCACGATGTACAAGATCTCGTTCACGTGGATCTCCTCGAAAACGGCTAACACGGCGACAGGATCGACAGCGCTGATCAACGCGGAGAAGAGGTACATGTCGAGGAGCGGTGTTTCGAAGCCGAACAGACCGCTTTTGCCTAGCACCCATAGCGATGAGCCTATACACAATTCAAAATAATAGAAAAATCTACAGTAATTAATTTCAACTATTTTGTTAAAAAAAATTAGAATTGAACTATGGACCGAAGAGATCAAGGAATTAATCGAAATAACCCAACGGAACCGTAGAATTGAATTTCAGATGTGTCTGTTGACAATGATCTCAAAGAATTCATTGGCCCCCTAAAAAATTATTTTCCATATTGTTTTATTTTCTTTCTACATAGATATATCATTCAAGAGGTCCATTAAAATTTTCTACATTTCATCTTTCCATCCTCATCGCTGTTATCGTATGATAGCGGTTGCAAAAACTGGTTTCCATTCGAAGAAACCAAAGAATTTGTTAATCTTTGATTAGATATGTGCGATATATTCATGCAGAAACTGTCGAAAGGGAATTTCTTTTATCGTCGATTAGATAATGCATATTTCTACGAAAGGTATATCAACATTGGAGACAGAAATCCACGAGGTGACTAATTAGCAAACGGACATAACGCCACGATTTCAATAGACGGATAATGACAACGTTACATAAACGTCGATCATGAGTTTAACATTGCACAACCACGCGCCGACAATTTGTTTCGTCGAAACCGATAAAATCGAGAGCAAGCATTTTCCACGCTGACGGCGATACCTGCTCGAAACAATGTAAATACGAAGTGTCCGATATTCATCGGCGATATTCATTATTTGTTATACCGGCCGATGAAAGGATATCATCAGCGTAAAAGTGCTCGACACTCTTTTGAACTTTATCGAAACGTTCGGCCGATGAAATGCATAAATCGACGGAATTTTTGTTCACTGACAGAATACACCGAGGAGAAATTAAAAGTATCGGAAAATCATCGTCGAGTTTTTCCCAATTTGTCCGAAAAATTATTACCCAACGAACGTTTCGCAATTTCGGCCGACTTTTTTTTAAAATCGTTTCCGCGTCGAGGAGAAATTTTCCACGATGATCGTTCATCGTTAATAATAAACGGAGTCTGGTTCCTTGAAATTTGTCGTGCGTCATTAATTATCACGGACACGGCTGGTCCTCGACGTATGGAGGAAAACTTAGTTTCGCAACGATGACGACTACGCAGTTTCACAAACAGAAAACGCGTGGGCAGTTCGACGACCGACACGATTTTCCTCTCTCTATCTGGATCAATTTAGAGAAATTCACGTTGGTGCTTCTTTATTTGGATGATTATAAAATAGGTGGTCGAACCTTTCATGTACAGGGGTGGCAAAAATAACGGTTATTTTCGCTTGTTTCACGAGAGAAATAACGTAACTACCCATTGCGCAATCTCGAGAAGTGCATGTCGTCCAGTATTTTCCGATTGTTGGAGGAACGTAACCGTCGCTACTGCAGCTCGGTTGTGTGTGTATTTTTAAACCCCTCGATCGTAAATTCTTGGCTTGAGAACCGTGCAACCGTTGATCGGTGAATTGACAGCGGGATGGTAGTCGCGGATATCATGTTTTCCCTAAGTAAATCTGTGCTCGATGGTTCGGTGGAAGGTTATATTTTGTGCGTAAATGTTACCCTAACAATAGAAAATCGAATAATGCTACATTCATTCGTCGATTCCATAATTTCGATTTTGAACGATCTTTACTTGCGTATTCCAATATTGGGTAGTTAGAAAGGATGTAATACGAGGATCAGTATTCCCGAGAGCGTACAATTCTCGAGATATTAATATTGGATCCTCTGTATCGTATCGGTTCGGTGGGATGAAATAAGTCTGACATGAAAGAAACGTTTCTTAGTTATTTGAATACGCAAGCTTCATTCATTGGAGAATATTCTAATTGATATGGATTCTGTGCTAGAAAATAGTCACAGGTTTAAGTGAATCGACACTCGTTGCATTGTTCAATGAACTATTGCGTTACTATTCTGTGAATTAAAGCGTGTTTGAATTAAATCGAATTAGGGAAATCTATTTACATATCGCTAGATTAGAAGGTATGTAAGCTGTTGGTGTTAACTTAATTTACAAGCTTCTGTAATAAAAAATATAAATAAAAATCAAACATTGGTCTCGGGTCGAATTGACCCGAACAGTGGACGAGGGCTAAAACATTAAAATCAGTCTTCTTTATTAATCACTTGCGTTGGAGTGACGTGTTAACCACAATGAATGCCAGCTGTCCCAAACGTGGACATGACGTGTATAATACGTCGTCCGTTCTTGTTGACTAAAAATAGTCTTGTATGGTTTTTCAATTGTTCTATAGTGATTCTATAGTAATTGGCGAGCACACTGGAACGTTTAAAATATCCGATCGCGTAGGGCACGTAAATACGTAACAAGTTCGCAGTTCTTATAAAATTCTATCAATTTTCTATATATTGAATTATAAAGCAGTTATGGTACAAAATAAGAATAAAGTAAATTAATTAGTATACGGTAGTATTTTGATGATAGTGATAGTGAAACTAGCAGATATTATTCGACCACATTCAAGAAGAAGAATAGCAACGGGGGACATTTTTCTCGATACATTCCACTCGCAAAAACCAAATAAAGACCTTAAAGAAGATGCAAAGTATGTACAAAAAAAAACATTTACGAAATGAAACTATCTGGAAATCAAAGAGTTTTACTGTAATTTACTTATCAATTAATATTAATTTCATCATTATGTCTACAAATTTTATAGAAATTATTTCAAGTATCAGCTCAATGAGAAATTGATTTGAACGAATTTGTCACACGCGGGTTCGACAAATAACTGCCAACGCAAGTGGTTACTACAGAATTCCAAACAAAAGAATTTCAAACTAACAAAGAAGTAATTTCTATCGCTGGAAGATAAGATCTTTAATCGGGGATGAAACTGTGTTCCCATTTAACTCCAACTAGAATTTCAACAACAGTTCCCGAATACTTCGTGCATTAATTCGAATTCAACTTCGTGCCGCTCGCCGGGAATCGGGCGAACCGTCCGAGAGCATAAAAAGAGTTAACAAACTGGGATTCGACTTCAACTTCGATATCACCGTCCGCGCATTTGTCCCACTGTGGTGGAGCAGAAATAAAAAGGCAGACTATAAAAGAAAAGTGCGCAAACGACAGAAAAACGGGCTGGTTATGTTGTTCCGTTGGGACGAAACGAATTAAAAAGTGGAATAAAAAACTATTGGACTTATTGAAATGTTAGGAGGATATTTCCAGATCCTTAAATCCTTATTTCAAAATTATGAGACTGATGTACACTACCGGCAAAAAGTATGGGACCAGGTCTGATAATTAAAGAAAGAGGGGAATACTTATCGTACAAAGATTTGGTAAAAGAAATGTGCTGAAACTGATTAAAAATAATTTGTATACGTACTGATTCCGTACGTTTTTTTTTATATCATAACAAAATAATGTATTAGTGTTCCATCAATCATGAACTCTGATCCCATACTTTTGGCCGGTTGTGTACATATTATATCTTGTTATTTTATATTAAAGTCGAAAATATTGATATTGAACAGACCCATTTTTTAATTATTTTCTTTTATTATTTATTCTTGGAGAGAACACTTGAATTTCTCAACTGAAAACGCGGAGATCTACTTCACATCAGTGAAACTACGGATCCTTGTTGACGAAAGTTAGCTATGAATCGACAACAGAATTTAACGCAGATTTACAATAAGTGTTAAAGATCCACAAATATGATCAAATGAATCACTCATTACCGATAAGCGATATTGAATCAGACAGCAGTGAATAATTTCACGAAATTTGTCAAATTTCAGTAGCTAATTTTATTTTCCATAAATAAATTCACATATCTCGATATTTACGTTTGAATGTCGATTTTTCTCCCAAATTCTATCATTCAGCCGCCACAGTGAGTCGTTGCAATGACACAGGTGTTTTTTTTTATCGGTTCCACCTACCTATCGACAGTGTGTTAAATATGGTACCGACGACCGCGAAGAGTAGTATCGTTCCCAGATGATCGAAGAACAACCGATTCGGCATGAAATAACCGGCGTCTAGGATGATGGGCGGCAGCATGTAAAGGAAGAACGTGTCCGGCGTAAGGGGCGACACGTGGACGCTGCTCGCCTGGAACAGTAAGACACCAACGACGACGCCGACAACAATCAGCAAACAGGACTCCGGAAAGATCTTGCTGAGCTTCGGCGTCATGTGGAAGCCTGCACGTAGAATCGTAACTTAACGGTAACAACTTCGAGCCGTTCTCGATCTGGACATTCAGGGGCTGGCGATCAGGGGATAAATCTTCCCTTTTCCTTACCACTCGAGGGTAAGTGTGTTATCCGGTGGTAGCTTTTGGCGCTGGGAGCAGTTAGTTTATGGACTTTATGAAATTATAGAAACTTCAATTATCATTTCTGGAAAATTGTTGTAAGCGTGGAATGAAAATTTTTTAATTGAGACGCTGAAATTTTGTGGAAAGTATGAGTAAGATAATTTGAATATAGGTATGAAAGTTGGATTATTTGATATGGAGGTATGAAAACTGTTTTGTGTTGGTGATTAACTTGACGAGGGAGAATTGGTGTTTCTTTTTGTACGAGGAAATGATTAAATGTGATAAGCAGTCACCAGCTACTGAATGTCTCCTGACCGAAAAGGTCCTCGTAATTTGGAACATACGAAACGCCTGGAAGCGTGTGAGTATTCACGAGAGACTGTTTCGTTATTTATTCTCTTTGTAAAGAACCGTGCCTCGTTACTGTATATTCGGGAAAGCGTGTTGCTGCGATCGCATCGGAATCGATTACAGCCGGTCAAGGTCACCACCTAAGTGTCCATCTAATATTCCAGTCACACGTACTTGTCACACAATACTACGATCCAAAACGACGAAGCATTAAATGAAACAAATGTCCAAGTTCATGAATTCATGGAATCGAACCGAATTCTGAAAATAATGGAACGACTATACGTACAGCAAAGGGGGATACCAAACAGCGAACGTTCCAATCAGCCAAGTCAGCTAACACAACATTACAGATCAATGAACACGCCAAGCAAAACAGACCTCGATTCCCGATACAAAGCTGACTAGGTGAAGCGACGTCGAACAGTTCACAGAATCCGACCGTATCGCATCCGATACAACGCAACAACGATCAAGTTAACCACATAGTAGATAGCTACCAACGAAACCAGCAACGAGGCCGGTTGATCGAGGTCGCTCGACTCATAATCCCTTCAAGTTCCACGAGCATAACCGTACCTATTTTCGCGATACTCGCGAAGAAGATCCATATCCCGATCACAAAAGGCGTCTCGACACGATGGAACTCCACGGACATGATCTTGTACTCCCGTTCACCGCGATGCGCGACATCGCCACTCTGGCCGACCACTTGGGAGGACAAATGCGATTCCACAGGACCGCCGTCGCCGTTACCAGCCGAGAGACTACGGAAGGAGACGTCATCCGGCAAAGAACCGTCTATCGGACCCATCGGGCCGAAGCTCTTCCCCGGATACGGCTCCCGTAGATCCCTCGGGAACTCCTGGTCGTCGACGATCGGTCCGTGGCCCGCGTAGTCGTTCACAGGGACCCGTTTCTCCGGCTGCAGATTATCGGGAACAGCTTCGTAGTACCTGGTCAGACCAGCCTGGCCTTGGCCAGGCCAGCAGGCGACCAGGATGATCAAAGGGAGCACGATCATCGGGCAAACTGGACGGGGACCCATGGTGCGGCTACACGTGGACGACTCGGATGCTGATGGCGTGGACTGCGCTCGTCGTCCGCGCTCGTCCACCGTTTCTGCGTCACTCGATGTACCATCAGAAAAGGGACCACCTCCAGCCACGAGGAAGCTACGGGGTTTCGTGGCTCCTGCTGTTCCCACGTCACACTTAGGATTGGGGGGGATCTCCACCCTTGTCTCCACTCCGTTACACCCTTGCTTCCTGCTATCCAGGCAGGGGTCTCGCGACTAGTTCTTAGATTTATCGACGGTACAGCCTCCACTGTCTCGAGAAGTGGTTTATTGAATAAAGCTTCCGGAGACTATCTTTCCTTGATCACACACGTGGAAGACGATCGTTTCGAGGTTATCGGATGTCGCTTGTTCTACCCGATCAGTTCTTAGAACTTGGACGCGCATCCGGTGTCCCGTATTGCTTTGCTGGCAGGCATGGAAGATTCTTGTCGCTCTGGACAGCAGACTTGGTAGCGATAGGAACTAGAATTTCCGTTGAATACCACGCTGATTTTCAGATTTACCGATCTTCTGGAATTTTTTGCCCATGGACGTGGACGATCGTTCGAACGCCCACTTTCCGTGGAACTCCTAGAAATCTTGCCTCCAAGTGTCGCGCGGCGGTCTATATTCGTCTACCCGGTGGCCTTTCTCGGCAGCGGACGATTTTCCAGGTCGTGTCAATGAACCCCTGGTGGACACCTACGCGCGTACAAGTTCATTTTTGTGCGGTTAAAAATGCTTCCCCGTTCACGGACAGAATAGACCGGTCGAGTGGTGGATTTGTTTTGGTACTTACCGCGCCGTTTCGATGTTGCGCGGGTGCCGTGTTTATTGGCCGGTTATCGACGGACGTATCCTCTTTGGTACGCAGCTGCGGGATGAAGCACTGGATAGCCTCTTCGAGAACTTATTTACACATCCTTGCTCTGGGACTTGAAGCTCCTCTTAATCAGAGCTACTCCATAACCATCGAGGTCTGAACCAGATACAGGAAAACACACCTTGAACGTAGACCCAGAAGACCCGTACAATTTATTGTCTCCTTCAGACTTCCGTCGATGTTCCCCACAGAAGGATCTACCTTCCGTGATCCACTGACTCCAACCAGGTACAAGAACACACCCTCTAGACCCAGATTTCTCTCGGTTCTCAAACTTCCATCACAATCTCTCGCAGGATCAATCCTCTCCCGTGAAATCACAGCACCAGGTCTCGATGATCCTCTCCTGAACACGGTACACCACGTTCGTCAAAGGAATCAATTGGTAATTGTTCCGTTTGACAATCCACGATAAATCCTCTATCCTATCACAGCGCCAGCCCGTCAGGGACGTGGATCCTGGTGACTCGCCCGGCGTAGACACACACACACACACATACACAGGGGTCAGCAAGTAGACACTAGTCGAGAAAACAGAGCCAGGATCGATGATCAGACTCACTTTCAAATCCTCACGCAGGCACTCGATGACGCGCCAGCGTTCTGGACACGTAGCAGCAGACAATGAACGAGTCCGTGGTGGTGGTGGCGATGGTGGCGGCGGTTACGACGAGGAGGCATCGTTGTTGCATTCGGGAAGGAGTTCTGCCGCGGTGTCGTTCCCAGGTCTCTCCGGGGCGGTGCGCTTCGATCGACCGTCACGGCAGCACTGCGCGGAAAATTAAATCACCAACGACAACGTCGACGAGTGCACGCCGGTTTCGTGACGTCCAGAAACGAGCACCATGGCCACGGTGGCTGAAGGCACGAAGCAACGATGCCAAAAACGTGCGTAACTCCCGTTCAGGCTGTCCCCCATGACGTGGACAGCCGATGTGCGCGGCTTCTCCGTCTCCCTTCCACTAACCTGCGCCCGTTGCTCCTACGATATTTCTCTCCTTTTTCTGCAAACGCAATACGCTTCCCTCGTCACCCCTCGTCGTTTCGCTCTGGCATCGCCTGCTGCCGTCTCCGTCGTCGATGCCTTCCAGCCCAGCTGATCGTTGCGGGAACCCGCGCAGGCGTCGCGACGCTTCGATGTACAGGGTGAAACAGAAAAAAGGGTTTGTAACTTGTGGCGTAGGTAGTACTTGCCAAATGATTAAAAGTCCTGATAAACATAGGTCGAGAAATTAATATTTTGAAAGTTATAAACAGTTTTTTTTTCGGTTAAACTGACTTTATCGATTTGGGAGCTATTGTATCGTATGGAAACAATGGATTGCATTATCATTGTTTCTTTTTCTGGTTACAAAAGGTTTTCTACAATTCCTATTACTTTTTTTAGCTCTCGAACCGAGAAAGTCAGTTGCTTTAACCGAAATAAGGAATTGTTTGTAACTTGGAGAATATTAATTTTTGGACCCATGTTCATCAGGACTTTGTTTCGTCGTTAGGCAAGTACTATTTACCCTAGAAGTTATAGGTCGGGATTCACAGTCAGTACTTATTCTTAAGCAAATGCTTAAGTCCCCAGTTATGAATGTGTAATCCATACGTATACACGTATACATTCATAACTGGGAATTTAAGCATTTGCTTAAGAATAAGTAGTGATTATAAATAAGCCCTTTTTTGGTTTCACCCTGTATAGATTCCGGCGCGACGTCGCTGGGGCGTGCTTGTTCCACCACGCACCCATCGCGGCGGCGGGATCCCTTGTTGTTGAGAGTTTCGCCGCTGGAGGCAGCCCGTCGCGGGAGCATATGGGGAAAATTGTAACGAAATTGGAATTTCTAACCCCTCCAGGCTGATCGATGATGACGATGATGGTCGCTTGTTGGTGGTAGACAGATTTGTACGCGCGTTCTGCACTCCGACATAAAAATCCTGATTTCTTTTAGCTGGTCTCTGGTCCCTGACTGCCTTGAGCAGTATTTATTTCGTTTCATAAATTTACTGCGTGTCGTGTCTACGATTTTTTTATGGTTGGTCTGTTGCAATTTTTATCCAGACGGCAGAATAACCGATAATAATTATTAGACCGTGGATATTTATGCATTAATAGGATCTCTTAATTTGAACAATGCAATAAGATAAAGGCCCAATAAATATTAGTACTATTTATATCCCAGATAGCCCATGACGCCTTAGAGACGTCCATTTTACAGCTATTTTAGGTCTGAGGCGCCTTTAAGCCGTCTTCAGGGTGTCATTAGATGTCGTGTGTTCTAGTAAAGAATTCAAAATTCTGCTCCATTTAAATTTTTAGATATCGGAAACTGTAATTTTGCATGAACTTCCGCAGTTTAATAATTATACCGTTTTCTTTTCTGTTATCTTATTTAGCTTGTATAATTCTCGTCGAGTTATACCTATTTCTAATTAAACGAATGTATCGTGAGTAATTCAAAGAGAAGCACGATTAGATCGCTGGGGATTAATCAACCCCCTTCGTTTTCAATCTTCAAGTGCATCACGGAATACTCGTTAAACAATGTTTAGACCAGCGAATATCGAAGGTCCGTGAATAATTAAATGAACGAAGTGGATGAGTTTCCGTGACTTAAGTAACCCCACCCTCATCCTCCACCCAAAGTTCACAATATAAGAAATTTCTGGTTCGTTTATTTATTCATTTCTTTGAAGTGAACCATGAATGTTTGAAGACACTTTAAGAGACCCATACGTGGATCAGGTTGCTCGTCTATACAGACTGCAGGCGACCTTAAACCAGTCGCGTCCCGACGCCGGATCTCGGAGACACCTCCGCCCTTGACCTTGTCACTGTTGCGCTAGGCGAAATGCTCGGGCTCGCCTCGACATTCAGCCCGCGACTCGACCAGCCTTTTCGATCATGCTCCGCGACCTACACATCGACTGCCTAGCCTACTTATACCCTTTTTCTTTTCTCGCGCGCCACCACCCGACTCAGCGGCTAATCGGCTCATGACTTTTTAATTAAAAAGACATAAGCGAGGCTTTCGACCTTTTCTCTCTTTTATTTCTGCAGCACGTAAACAGACAGCAATAACGATCTGTTTGTCTTGGAGGAATCGAAACGTCGTGATAATTAAATGAAATTTATTTTGTAATAGACAGAAGAATAAACGAAATACTATTTAACAAGAATGTTTGTTGAAACTGAGATCTAAGATCTAGAGCAGTGGTTTTTAATCATACCGTGAGCAATGTGGGTCGTTGACAACCCAAGGGAAATCCTGTTGTTGCCAGACTTTCTTCAAAATTTGTATTTTTATTGAAAAATATCTTAAACTTTTAAGTTAAAGAACGATTATTTAGTGTAGTAGAGGCTTTGATAATTATTCCAGGATTATTTCAGATTTTGTGAAGCCTAAAACAGTCAAAAAAGTAGGCTTGGATATGAACAACGCAGTTTGCCCATAGAATGTGAAAAAATATTTTGACCTACAGAGGGGTAACCTTTTCAAAGTTACGGAATACTTTTGATTATAAGAAACATTTTCGGAACACCAAAATCACTAAGATCACAAAGCTAAGAATAAAAATATCTATCAACATATTTTGATTCAGTATTAAGATTCTAGTATAGTTTCCTAGCTTGTGCGCTATTTTCATAATTTTGTGGAATATTAGTGTTCTGAGGAACACCGGTTAACACGTTCCGTGCCACAGTGAAAAAGGCCGTACGTAGACAGACAATCTTTATGTCGTACTTCAAGTCATAAATTACCGAAAATGTGTGTCTTTTGTTAATAGAGGCTGTTGGTCTTGTTTCAAACTACAGTTCAACATTAAGTGTTGAGAACCACTGAGTAGAAAATGGAACGTTTGACTGATCTGACCTGAGTGACCAATCGCGAAAATGAAGAGGTCCTAAACAATTTTGGAGAGTAGTAGAGGGGATGAGGGTCTAGGCCAGGTATTAGGAAGAATGGCACAGTTGTTTAGTATTAAGGGTGACCTAGCGTTTGTCAGTTCGATGTGACGCATGTTTGCGGAGAAAGTGAAAAATCGAAGAGACTGTAAAATATTTATGCGTGTGTGTGCAAAGTGATTGTATAGATAAGAGGGTGAGTACAGT